TGGGTGTGCTCGGAGTACTTGAGACCTGCTCCGTGTGGCAGAAGCGGAGGGGGCAGCAGAGCAAGGCCAGACCACCAGGAACAAGCTGCAGGCGCTTTGTAGGTCAAGTAGGGTTTTACAGTGTTTTTTGTTTGTTGGTTTGTTTTTCAATAGGGTCATAATATGGGACCTAGCGTCTTTTACACCTAAGAGACCTTCCCCATTTAAGGCAGTCATTACACCAGACGTTCCCCAGATGGTGGAGTCCTGACAAAGTGCTCGTGTCCTCCCTTTTCTATCACTGGACCTTCAAAGGCCACTCCAGCCTGTTGCTGGACAGTCGCTGTGGCCTGCATTCAGTGTCTGTGGGCAGAAGCAGACGGCTTTGTGTGCCTTTCTCCGCAGGCTCCGGGGAAGTACACCATCGTGGTGGACGATGAGAAGGGAGGCCCCAACACACTTGCCGTGAGGAGCGGAGACATGGTGGAGGTGGTTCAGGAGGGCGACGAGGGCCTTTGGTAAGATGCCCCACGGTGTGCTCTCCCTTCAGCCACTCTGGGCATGTGGGCTGGAGCCACTGACCGGCCCACACCCCCACAGGTATGTCAGGAACCTGACCTCCAGCAAGGAGGGCTGGGTGCCCGCCAGCAGCCTGTCCATGCTCCTCAGCAAGTCCAGCTCGGCACAGTGCTTGAGCAGCTCAGGTAAGACCCCCCGTTCCACGCTGACCGTGCCCTGAGCCCACCGGGTTCCACAGCCTTGAGCCTGTTTAACAAGAAAGAGGGACTTGCGTGCGCACGCATGGAGCCGAAGCCGTTCTCGCCTGGTTTTCCCGCAGAGTCCAGCACAGGGTCCGCTCTGCTGAGCAACTCCTCCAGCTGCAGCGAGAGCTGCGGCGGCCCCCTCTCTGACCTGCAGGGGTAGCGCCGGCCGGGCCCCCAGTGCAGGAGACCAGCCTGTGAGCCTCTAAGTTTTCCTTTGCTTGGGCTTGCCTAGTTTGGTGAGGGGATGGTGCTCTAAGACGCCCTGGGAAAGGAAGAGCCTGACAAGACCCGAACAATGAGCTGCCTGCTGCCCACCGAACCTCATGGTGCAGGACACGGGGGCATTCGGAGGAATGGTTCAGGAAGATTCTGCCCTCCAGCCTCCAAGCCAGGATTCCCTCCCAGGGCACAGAAACTGGTTCCCATGGAAAGACCAGTACACCAAGCTTCCGCGGAGCATCTGAATGGACGGAGCATGGCTGCAGGCCGACAGACCGCCGGTGCAGGAGGGCTCTGTGGGGGCGCCGTCCGGCCGGCCTCTGCCAGGCAGCCAGGAGGAGCCGGTCCCAACCGCTCTGCTTTGGTTTCCGACATGCCTGGTCTGGTGCTTTCTGCAGGGATGTGTACTGTGGGGCTGCTTCCGAAAGAAGTGACCGATTCACTGACCCAACAGCTTGAAGAGAGAGAGGGTGGGGGGACTATTTTGTCTTTTACAAATTTTTTTTAAAGCAGGGGTTAACCCCATGGCCATTTTTTTGTGGTACTTTGGCCTCTAATCTTTACCAGGAATCACTGTGTTTACATGAAATGACAATTTGATACTGCATTTGATATAAAACTATTTTTTTGTTACTGGGGTTTACATTGCAGCACGTTGTATATACCCTGAATGATTTGGGGGACTCTCTCATGGAAATTGACGGCACTCTCCGAGCCCACCCGGTGACGGGAATGAAAACACATCCTTTGCTAAAACCAAGCAGCATTTCTACAAATGAGAGCAGTTAGAAACCAAGAAAATTCCTTTACCTGGGTAGTTCATTTTCAAAAGGAAATTTAAACTATAATTTAAAATACTAACCTTCTTTTCTACAAAAAAATAACAATGAGGACTCTTGATTTTTTTTAACACGCCTCACTGAATTGGGATTTTTTATTGTTTTTAAAGAATACACGAAGATGCAGTTTTTGCAGGGTCTCATCTGAACAATGACGTCACAGGCAGCTCGGTGAGAACCTGAGCTCGCCTTCCCTCTGCCTCCTTCCCCACCTCCCCCACCTGCACGGGCGCGAGACTGCTCTGCGCGTGCTGTATGGGACCACCCTAAACACAGAAACCTAAAGGTGCAGAGTTATTTTATTCCCATCAAAGCAGAACTGGGAAGAAAGCTCTTCTGTTTTCCCTTGTTTTATGTTTCAGAAACAAATTCTGTTCTTTGGCAACGCTCTCTGTGTGCGGTTGGGCAGATATTTTTCTATGTGTGTATATATGTGGATGTGTGTACATATGTATCCGATGTACGGGACGTATTTATAGCCTCCATGCTGCTGGCAATGTGTCACTTTACAGCCCTCCCCGAGCCCCAGGCCCTACTGTAGCCGAGGCCAGCAGGCTTCCTCCCCCCACCCCCACATGCAAGGCCGTCCTCACCCACCAGGCCTCTCTGGAGTGTGGTAATAAAACAAAACGACGTGTCAGACTTGGCAGCTTTTCTTCTGGTGTATAAGTTATTTGAAAAATAATGTGTCTCCTAATTTAATTAATATATGGATTGTTCGGACGCCGTTCCTGCCGACTCGGCCTGGGACTGGCCACCACTCTGTGACCTGTCCCTCTGAAGGCACTTTAAAACTCCATGTTGCGGCCACTGTTCTTTTCTCCCCCTGCGGATGTAAACGAAATTTAAAAATCAGAACTCTTTATTGTATGGATGAAGTTTGAATAAACATCGGCAACTCTTGCTGTCTGCCTTCGCCTGTACGGGCGCAGAGTCCCTTCTGTCCTTGGTGCGCAGCGCTGCGCGGTGGTATTTTGCCCCTCCGCTCACGGAAGGGCAGGCACGCGTTGAAACAGAAACGCAGCAGGCAGTGAGCGCGGCCGAGGTACGCGCCGCACGCTGTACCTTGTCAGAAAGTAATCCGGGTAGAAGAACAACAAGCTCGTATGTGTTGACCATGTAGAGGTCAGAAAAGAAATGTAGACTTGCCGTGCCAGAACAAGAACGTAGCTGGTAACTTTTAAACCGGAAAGGCAGAGCAGAAAGGAGGGTCACCGATCCGGCAGCAGAGGTGCGGGGTGTGGCCGGGGGGCGGGGGCGGGGGATCGTGACGAACGGGAACACGGAGGACAGTGGAAGTAAAACGTCCCAATATTTCTCAATCACAACAAATGTAATTATGTTAAACTGACCTATGGAAGAGTATCAAATTGGGTGTAACAACTGCTAAAAGAGACCATAAAATGAAATTATACGGAGGTTGAAAATAAAAGAAAGAAAAAAGATAGAGCAGACAAACTCGAAGCAAAAGGAAGCGGGGGTAGAATATTGATAACACATGAAATCAAATTTAGAACTTGTGAGCATTAACCAGTATGCTGGAAGGATAGAGAGCAAAGAACTGCAACCGTGGGCGAAAACTTAATTATCTCTCACAGAAATTAATACACATTTGTCCCTAACAATAGGAAAAATAGGCATTACTTTCCAATATGCATAGAATATACACAAATACCTACAAAACAATGAAAAACCAGTTCAAAGGGTTAGAAAAGAAATACCACGGGAAATTCTGATATAGGTAGGACTAGGCGGAATCATGCATCTCAGAGCTCGTGCGTGCAGCTACAGCATAGCTCAGAGTGGCGTGGGTAGCCCTGGTGCATTTACTATTTTATGTGACAAAATTCATGAGTTTACCATTTCAAGAAGCTAAAAATAAGACCAATATAACCCAAAGAAAGTATAAAAGAGGAATGAGAACAATTCTTAGAAGAAAATAATAAAAGTAAGACAAATCAATAAAATCAAAACCTTATTCCTTGAAAAATAATAAAATACAGCGATTTATAGAAAAAACTGATAACCTTTACAACAAATAGAGGCTTTAGAATGAGAGAACCATTATGAACAACTTTCTGCCAATACATTTGAAAACAAAGTAGGATTTTTTTTTTGAAGAAAGCAAATTGTTAACATTAATTAGGGAGAAATAAAATACTTGGGTTGATGAATAATAAAGAAATTGACTTGCAGTTTAAGGAAATTACCCCAGATGCCAGACTCAGATGGTTCTTTGGGGTTAGCTATTCCTTTAAGGAGAAGAATCCGAGGAAAGTCAAGGGCAGCGATGCCCCCAGAAAGGGCCCTGGCTGGGGGGTGCAGTCAAATGCCCCTTTCCTTCCTCCCTCCCTCCTCCACAAATACATCCCTGTATAATTAAATTCCTAAATAACTAAGCAATTATTAAAAATTCCAGATTTGATCAATAAAACATCTCCTCTAAGGACTAATTCTTCAATTTGGGGAATGGGCTGGGACCCTGCCAGAAATAAGCAGAGCTGAGGTGCTGAGTTTCCACCCACCCACAGAAAGGATGTGATTTCCAGAGAAGCAGCCTAGGCACCCCGGAGGCAGGTTGCCAGGGTAACCCAGCATCCCAGTGGGCCAGAACAGTCCCAGTTTCAGCACAGGAAGTCTGGTGGCATCCTGAGGCCAAAACGGAGTTGGTGGTTCAACAGGGGCAGATGCCCCTTCCAGGTGCTCCGCCTCTCCACCAGATGCTCTGTCCCCTAGGAAACCAGGCCTCCAAGGTGAGGCAGCCCCATGGGCCTCCTCTGTGGCCCTCTTCAAAACAGTCATCCACACCCAAAATGTGCTCTCCTTTGACCAGTATTATTACTGTAGGTGATGGTTTTCTACTGTAGCCTAACCCTGTTTTCCCAATTGCAGTCATAAGTCCTGTGGGCTTCAAAATCCTAAATTGATTTGAGATGCTTATGGCCAGATGCATACCCTAACACCAACATTTCAGAGAAGGAACCTCTGCTTCAGAGACTCAGCCGTGCTCTCTGGGCTCGGTGTCCTGGGCTCAGGCCCTATCTCTCCGTCTCTGATCCCCGCTCCAGCATGCCTTTGGCCCAGAGTGTTTGGGAGACTAAGTCTCCCCAAACCCCCCCACCCCGCCTGTCCCTCTGGGTAATATGAGAACTTTGCTCACCACCCACGCAGGCAACACCCCCCCCCCCCCCGCCCGCCCCGCACTGGAATGTCAACAGACAGGAAGCAACACTGTGGACCTCACCATGCTTTCCCAGCCTGGTGGGCTGGCCCTCCTCTGCTTTCTGCTGAGCCTGCAGGGGTCTCTGGCCGCAGGTATGTTGGGGTGCCGGGGGAGGGTGGGTAGAGGTTTCCCTATAACCCAGTGAGAAGGGCAGCCCAGCTTCTGGCAGCCGAGCCTCCCAAACCTCACCTTCATTCCTGTTTCACCAGGAGCCTTTGCTGGCTCCAGTGTGATCCGCTCTCCTTCCAAAAGCAAACAGTAGCCAGGTACTTGCCGGGCATAGGTGAAAAGAGTGCTATTGATTCTGCAGACTTTGGCAGAATTATTTTTCAAAGGCTTTTGGGAACTTGCGGTGGTTTCCTGTTCACCGGTGGGGACCTGCACACGCAGTTGGACAAGACAGAACCTGGGGCTCGGGGCTGTGGGGTGGGGGCATGCAGTGGAGCTGTGCTTAACCTCATGCTCTGCTCTCCTGGGTGTTCAACTGGCAAGTGCCAGGAACAGTGGGGGGACGCTGGGCTGTACTGCGCTGCACCCTCCTTGGCTGTGACTGCCACCACCCTCCCAGCCCCTCGAGGGTGCTGAGAGGCCTGAGAGGAGAAACTTGGGGATGTGTTTATGGGCCATCCTCATCGAGACTTCACAGTGCCGACTGGCAGCCCTGGTGGAGACAAGGTGCTGACACTGTCCACTGAATTCCTGCTGTCCCATTGCCAGGCGGGGTCTGGGCGTGGAGCGCGTCTGCCTCGGCCTGCTGGCCCACCAGCCCACTGGTAGTGCATGGGTTCTCGACTTCGTGTAAGAAAGTCTTCACAACAGGAGTCCATGTTATTTTGAGAGTATGTTTATGAAAGCTGGGGACAAGGAAACAAAGGAAGGGCTTAAACACAGAAGAAGCAGCAGGAGAGAGAAAGTGAGAAAAGGGGAGCCTTGGAGACAGGTGCTGGGGGTTAGCCTGGGACGAGCTGCTGCTGCCCACTCCCCCCCTGGTTGCAAGTTTCTTGGGGACCCTTAGGGTTTAGCAAACATACTCTAGCAAGAACATGCTGAGGATTCTTTGTCTTGAGGCTTCTCATCTTTCCTTGGCAGTTGGCCAAATCCTAGGGGAGGTCTCAGGGGAGGGTCTTAACAGAATATTTTCAGATGTGTCCTTCAGTATGTTGATTCACCAAAATATGCCTACGGAGGGATCAAGGGGGTTTGGGGGGTTACTTTTTAAAGAACGTTATGGAAGAGGGACCAAGACGGAGGGTGGTCTGCCCCTGGATGTCTGGAATGTGCGAATCACAGGCTCCTGGGTGTCCCTTGGTTAGAGAAGATAAAACCTGGTGATTCATTAGCTGGCTGTCAATTGTTCAAACTGTTTGGCCTTGTTTAATTATTTCCTCTCAGTTTCCCTTACTACACTTGTTGAGGATTCCCCCCGCCCCCCACACTTCGCATCCCACTGTGAGACACTGGGTGGGGGGGGGGGGGGTCAGATTGGTAGTTGCCTGCCCTGATGACTACAGGTGCTCAGAGGAGAGCGTGTCCTGCCCCAGAGAAAGTCGGCGCTGCCCGTTGTCCTTTCTTATGCCAGGAAAACTGTGACGAGTTGCAAGTGACTTTCATCATCTCCCTTGTTCTAGTCAGTCTTTTCCAAGTGATCTCTGCAGGGATGGTGTGTTACTTCACCGGCGTTGTCTCTGTTCCCTGAGGGCTTCCTGGTGCGCCCATGCTCCCCTCCATGGGCAGGCGATTCTGCTCTGGTTGGCCGCTGGCTCTTTCGTGGTCTCTTGTCTCCAGTGCCCACCTTCCCCTCCCCACGTGGGCTCTGCCGCCAGCTCCCCTCTCAGGAGCCTCCATTCTTTGATTTATCCTCAAACTCTCCCAAACCAGATCGACTCCCCAAGATACAGGCAGGTGAAAGTCTCTGATTTTAAAGATGATGTGGGTGGCCCGGGAGCTGGCACATCCCCCCTCCTGTTCCCACGCTCTATAACCTTCCCACCTGTCCTGGAGGGCCCCTGCTCACCAGAGGCTTCCTGGAGGAGGGGGCTGCACAGACACTTCACCCTTTCTGTCTGGAAGCCTCTGCCTCTCCAAAGCCGGTCTGTGGTTCCTCTCCTCTGGGACTCGTTTCCACACTTGGCTTCTGCCCTCAGTGCTGGCTTCATTCTGCTTCCTCTTCTCACCCTAAGTGCACCCTGCTCACCGCCAAGGTCACTCACTGTGCAGCCCCCAGCAGCGCTGGTCACACACAGTGGGATGGTGCCAGGGGCTCCAGGGACCTCATCCATGCCCTTGACTTCAACCCTGCATAACCTCACCAACCTCGACATCTTCACCGCCATCACCAAGCCCTCGTCTCGGATACAGATCCCACGTCTGCCTCGTTGTCCAAAGAACCCCCAAATTCAAGGAGCTCCAACTGGTTCCATCACCCCCACCCTGAGTGGCTTTGGGTGACTTCTAAGCCCCACCCACCTCCTTTTCCATAGGCAAAATGGGGGACACCAGCTACCTCCAAGTAACTCTGGGCATCCCTGTGAGATTCCAGGAGGGGGCATGAAGCTGATCTAAGCTGCTGGCAGCAGACAAACGCTCAGGAAGGACCCAGAGGAGGCTGGAGCTCTTCAGTTCAGGCAGCGCTGCAGGGGTGGGGAGAAGAGGGGTGCCAGCAAACAGGACCCTCGAGCTTTAAGTGGAGACAAGAGATGCCCCGCCCCTCTCCACCCGCCCCCTCAGTCAGGCCACCCTCGTCCTCTCTCCTGCTACCTCAGCCCCCTCTACCTCTCCCTACCTCACCCCTACCCAAGCCAAGCCTCTCTCTGTTGCCTGACTCTCAAATGCACATCCCATAGGACCATCCTTCCCCAGGGGATCCTCTGGCTCACTCATTCTGCAACTCTTGACGAAATGCCCTAGGTGCCAGGGATGCAGTACATGCATATTTCAATCATAGAGTTACACACGTCGATTGTGCACATTTTGGAACACAATAGCTGTTAATTCCCAAAGTTAATTGTTTATGCACATTCTTTCAATAAATCACATTTACTCATATATACTCTTTTATTTAACAAAAAGATTATACAGTAGATGTTTTATGATCTTTTTTCACTTACCATCACATCCTCTTAAGCATTCCATTTCCTGGCGGCACGGGGCACCGTCGCCTGGTCGCTTCAGGTGATTGTCAGCAGCAGCCCTCCTTGTAGCTGGGTGTCTGTGCATGCCGCTGAGCGTTTCCTTAGGATCCGTTCCTGGAAGTGAGGTGAGCAGGTCAGAAGGTGTGAGTGTGTTAAGCTATTATTTTGTGAACATAGTGCCTCATCCTTGTACATCAAGTCTGTCCCCAGGCAGCCATGAGAAAGCACTCCTGTTTCAAATTCGGCCAGCCTGCAGGCAGGGCCCCGTTGACCCTGCGTGGAGGAGACCAGTGTGGAGGGTTTCTGGGCCACCTTGGCGTGGCAGGTTGTGGACCTTTCATGGAACTCCTGTTGCTCAGTCTTCATCATGCAGGAGGAAGCCCAAAGCGTCTTGCACAGGCAAAAGCGTGCCAACTGGTTCCTGGAGGAGCTGAAGCCAGGCTCCCTGGAGAGAGAGTGCAAGGAGGAACAGTGCTCCTTTGAGGAGGCCCGGGAGATCTTCAGGAACGAGGAGAGACTGGTGAGCTCACCCTGAGGGGGTGCCGTAGCACCATGTGCTGGGTCTGCAGAAGGGAGCTCTGTGACAGCAGGGGTGGCCCCGAGTCTCGGAGGCCAAGTCTCTTCACTTCTGTGGTTGTGAGCACCATGTGCACAGGTGAACACACAGGTGGCACCGGCATGCACAGCCCCTCTGTGTCTGGGTCACTATTCCTCCTAAGATTGCCTCACCTTCCTTAGTCCAAGAATCCCGCGATGCTCCCTGCCTCCCCGCTGTTCCCAAGGACGCCCCCCTCTCGGCCACACCATGCATCCTAAACTTTGCATCAGAAAATGCAGTTTGAAAAGCACACTCGATGTGTCCCTTGCCTTCCCAGCCCATTAAAGCTGCCCCTGCTTCACAGACGTGCTGCCGACAGAGCAGCTGCCTGAGACGCTGGCCTGGGTGAGCCTCTCACTGCCGCGCCGGCCGTGGTCACCTCCCTACGGAAACTCGTGAGGACACATCAGGCACCACTGCTTCCTCCACCTGCCCTGGGCCTTGTGGCTAGAAGGGTTTTCATTTCAGTTTCCATTTTCTAAAAGAGATATATTTAAAACATATCGCATCCCTCCCAACACTTCAGTAGGACAGTGGGTCAGACTGTGGTGAGCCACACTTCACATGCACAGGACACCTCACACCCAGCAGGGAGCAGGGCTGTCTGAGACGGCGGCTAACATGACCCTTTCTGGGCAAGCTGAAAATGGGCACACTTGGTGGCCGTGTACCAGTTAGTTTTCCAAAGCAGCTTCAACAGTTTTTATCTTGTTTTATTCTCATAGCAACGCTATGAGCTTAAGTTCAGTTGGCCAAAAGATTCCTGGGGATACCAGTGTTACTGACGGAGCCCCTGGCGCTCCCTGAATGCCTCTCCATCGCCACTGACCTGCTCCTCGTGTTGGCCACGTGTGTGGGTGATGACCCAGCACCAGAGGAGGGGTGGACGCTCAGCGTGCGTGTGTGCCTGGTCCCAGGTCCACAGCTCCGAGGTGGCGGAGCTGGGGCTAACTGGGGCTGAAACTTGGGTACTTTGACGGGGAGATGGAAGTTTGTGACCTCTGGCGCCCTTAATGATCTGCGGTGGTGGGGCCCAAGGGATGAGGAAAAACCTTTGTCCCCCAGAGGAACCCAGAGGAAAGCCTGGCTTCCAGAGCCCACTTCGAGGGCCCCAGGTCAGGTTCCCCCAGCCCGCCCCGTTCATTAGGTCCCTCTACGGACACCAGCCATGTGTGCCTCTGGTGGACGTGTCTCTCACGTGGCTTCCTCTTTGTTCCCTCAGGAGAAGTTCTGGATTTCTTACACAGGTGAGTAAGTAAATGGTCCATTTACATCCCGCCTCTGAGCCCTCCTCCTTGGCATACTAACGCTGACTCACTCCACAGATGGGGACCAGTGTGCCTCGAATCCATGCCAGAATGGAGGCACCTGCGAGGACCAGTTCCAGTCCTACATCTGCTTCTGCCCTGAGGAGTTCGAGGGCCGGCACTGTGAGACAAGTGAGAAATCCCACAGCCTGCAGACAGGGCCCCTGGGGGAGGCTAGTGGGCATGGCCTGGTCAGGCGTGGAGCTGGCCCTCAGCCCTGGTGGGAAGTCTGCCTCGGCGACTTTGAAGGCCTCTGCCAACCTCAGAGCCTCGGATCTGGGGTTCTAAGGTGCCAATTCTCAAATCTGATCACCCCCTGCTCCCTTCTGGGAACTAAAGACTTTGGGCTCCCAGCACCAGGAAATTCAGATACACCTGGAAAAAGCACAGGCGAAAACCTCTACATCACTGCCCAGCTTCCACATACCCTGCCAGCCAGGACGGTTGGGTAAACTTGACCTTCCCTATTTACTATTACAAAGGCATGAGATACTTTTTTCACCTTTTGTATATTAAAGTACTGCAAAGTTCAGGAATCCCCCACACCATTCTCAAGTTCAGTAATGTGCTGGAAAGACACAGAACTCACTGAAGACTGATATAATCACAGTTACAGTTATTACAGCAAAAAGACACAGATTAAAATCAGCAAAGGAACGTTGCCCCCAGCCCAAGGAGGGGCGGCCACCAGGGCTGGCCTCCCCTGACCAGTTGTCCTCTCCCTGGGCAGACATATGCACAGGCTTTCATTCTCCAAGGCTGATGTGTGACAAGATGCACGGAGCATCACCACCCCAGGAAGCGCACCTGAGCCTTGGTCCCCAGAGGTTTTATTGGGGCTCAGTCGAGTACACATGGCTGACCACCCACGTGGCTGACCTCAGTCTGCAGCCCCTCCAGAGGCTGAGCTAACAGCATATGGCCCAAGGTTCCATCCACCCTGGGGAACCAGGAAATAACCCTCTTTTCAGGCAGATTAAATTAAAAGTGTCCAACTTAATCGGGGTGTAGCAGTCACCCTCCAGGAGCTGAGGGCAAAGGCCACACCTTTCTTTGGGCAAGGTTAATCCCTCTTCACACAGGGGTATGTTCTGATGCGGAATGAGCTCTTGTGGGCCACAGCTGACTTCGGCTCCAAGCAGAACGGAGGCCAGCTAGAGTGCAGGAAAGACTCAGGCAAGCGGCTTCCTGCCAGTTACATGGGGCTGGGAAGCCCCAGTGTCTTGGCCTGGCCGTTGGTGCTCAGCTGCCCTTCCACAGCAAGCCAACCCTGTTTCCCACACCTGAGTGCTGTCCTTCAGAGTCAGGCTGAATGTCCCCATCTGTCTGTCTGAACCAGGGGTCCCTGGGCATCAGGGCCCTGCTGTAGAGCAGTCTCACCGCTCTGACCGTTTACTGGCAGGTCTCTGATTGAGTTGGGCTCTTCTACTGTTGCCAGGTAACTTTTACTTCCCCTGGGCCCTCCTCAGCACCCCGCCAGCTGCCAGGAGGGGTGACAGTATGGAGACCACCACGTGCTGGCCCCATGTCCCCACTAGTTAGGCTGCTCAGACGTGCACAAGCACCCAAACCCATGGCCCACCTTTCTGGATCAATCTACAGAGTGGGGTAGGGACAGGCTCAGACTCTGTAGCTGACAGCTGAGCACCACCTTTGTGCACAACATTGCCCCCAGCCCAAGGAGGGGCGGCCACCAGGGCTGGCTTCCCCTGACCAGCAGAGCCCCTTCTCAGGCTGTCTCCTTCTGCACCCAGACAAGGACGACCAGCTGATCTGCGAGAACGAGAACGGGGGCTGCGAGCAGTACTGCAGCAACCACGAGGGGGCCAAGCGCTCCTGCTGGTGCCATGAGGGGTACACACTCCAGACCGACGGGGTGTCCTGCACACCCACAGGTAACAGGCCCCCCGGGATCTGCTCCAAGGGCTGTGTGCCATTTCACTGCCAGATGAGCAGTCAGCTGTTTGTGCCCCGCCACAAGTTCTCCTCCGGCTAGAGAAGGGGCCACAAGCCATTAACTGAGCATCTACTACGTGCTGACCACTACATGCTCAGAAGCATCCCAGCATCTCCCACAGGCCTCCCCAAACCCAGAGGTTCCTGCAGCCCTGGGCGGAGCCTGAGGCAGAGCCACTGCCTGCCGGGCTCAGAACCCCTTCTCACCAGCATGTTCATCCCTCATAACCCCCCACATCTTGCAACTTTTGTTTTATATAGTTGAATATCCATGTGGGAAAATACCTGTTCTGGAAAAAGGAAATGACAGGGAACACCAAGCCCGAATTGTGGGTGGCAAGGTGTGCCCCAAAGGAGAGTGTCCTTGGCAGGTAAGACTTCACAGCCCTGGGGTCACACCCCAAGCCCCTCATCACCCCTGCTCGTGGCAGTGGATTTCCTCTTAATGCTGCAGGCCGATCACCTCTGACGTCGGTGCTCCCGGCAGCAGCCCCGCCAGCTTGCGCTGCTCCACACACGCTGGTCTTGCTCCCCTCTACCAGAGCAGGAGACTGAGGCCCTGCAGCCCGAACCCAGCTCTCTCACCTTCACAGCTCCACCTACTGTCTGCCTCTGGAAGCTGACATGTTTTTCTTTCTTGTATGCCAGATATTGTGTTTTTTTATTTTTTAATTTTTTTAAATTACAACCCCTAACCCCCACCCCTTCAACAACCATCAGCTTATTCTCTATATCTAGGGGTTTCTTTCTGCTGTGTTTTGTTTGTTCATTTGTTTTCTTTTTTATTATTTTCTAGTATATTTTATTGATTATGCTATTATGGTTGTCCCATCCCCCTTTATTCCCCTCTGCCCTGCACACCCCCTTCCACCTGCATTCCCCCCCTTTAGTTCATGTCCATGGGTCATAAACAGAAGTTCCTTGGCTTCTATATTTCCTATACTATTCTTAACCTCCCCTTGTTTATTTTCTACCTACTATCTGTGCTACTTATTCTCTGCACCTGTTCCCCCTCTCTCCCCTTCCCACCCCCTACTGATAACCCCCCTTGTGATCTCCATTTCTGTGGTTCTGTTCCTGTCCTAGTTGTTTGCTTCCTGTTCTAGTTTGTTTTTGTTTTTTAAGATTCCATTGTTGATTGTTGTGAGTTTGTTGTTATTTTACTGTTCATAGTTTTTATCTTCTTTTTCTTAGATAAGTCCCTTTAACATTTCATATAATAAGGGCTTGGTGATGATGAACTCCTTTAACTTGACCTTGTCTGGGAAGCACTTTATCTGTTCTTCCATTCTAAGTGATAGCTTTGCTGGATAGAGTAATCTCAGATGTAGGTCCTTGTCTTCATGACTTCAAATACTTCTTTCCAGCCCCTTCATGCCTGCAAGGCTTCTTTTGAGAAATCAGCTGATAGTCTTATGGGAACTCCTTTGTAGGTAACTGTCTCCTTTTCTCTTGCTGCTTTTAAGATTCTCTTCTTCTTTTTAATCTTGGCTGATGTAATTATGATGTGCCTTGGTGTGTTCCTCCTTGGGCTCAACTTCTTTGGGACTCTCTGAGCTTCCTGGACTTCCTGGAAGTCCATTTCCTTGGCCAGATTGGGGAAGTTCTCCTTCATTATTTGTTCAAATAAGTTTTCAACTTCTTACTCTTCTTTTCCTTCCAGCAACTCAATGATTCGGATGTTGGAATATTAAAGTTGACCTGGAGATTCCTCAGCCTCTCCTCATTTTTTTGAATTTTTGTTTCTTCATTTTGTTCTGGTTGAATGTTTATTTCTTCCTTCTGGTCCAAATCATTGATTTGAGTCCCAGTTTCCTTCCCATCACTGTTGGTTCCCTGTACATTTTCCTTTATTTCCCTTTTCACAGCCTTCATTATTCCTCTATTTTGTGACCATACTCAACCAGTTCTGTGAGCTTTCTGATTACCAGTGTTTTGAACTGTGTATCTGATAGGCTGGTTACCTCCTCGTCACTTAGTTGTGTTTTTTCTGGAGCTTTAATGTTCTTTCATTCAGGCCTTTCTTTTTTGTCTCAGAGTGCCTGTTACATACAAGGAGTAGAGCCTTAGGTGTTCACCGGGATGGGGCAACCTACATTGCTCTGTGGTGATGCTGTCATTTGGGAGGGATCCAAGAGGGAACAGTGCTGCTTGCTCTGCTCTCTGCCGGCTTTCAGTCAATTATGCGGCTACCCACAAGCAAATTGGGCCCTTCTGGTGCTGATTCCCTGGTGGGTGGGGTTGTGTACGTTCTAAAACCCTGTGGGTCTCTCCAATGAGACCCATCTCTCCTGTAAGGCTGAGAGTTTCTCCCCGTGCCACAACCCTCACAGGTTTTTTCAGACAGAGGCTTTGAGGCTTTATTTCACCACACTGGGACCCTGTGTTGTGCAGTCTGTCCCCCTCCCCAGTTGTTCCTCCCAGTTTATCTGCACACAAATGTGTGTCCATCCGTTCCACCAGTTGCCATAAGTCCTCTCCACCTCGGCTCCCCATCTCTGCCCCTCCTACCAATCTGGATGAATGTTTCTTCTTTAACTCCTTGGTTGTCAGATCTCCATACAGTTTGACTTTCTGTCAGTTCTGGTTGTTTTTGCTTTTAAATTTGTTGTTGTCTTTCTTTTCGTTGTTCAAGGGGCACAATGCGTCTACCTATGCCTCCATCTTGGCCAGAAGTCTGTTTTGTTTTCTTAGATTGCACACGTAAGCAAGATCATACAGGATGGTTTTCGATCTGTAGCAGAATTCTTCCACAGGCCAGGAGGCTGTGTGCCTGGCATGTGGTCAGGTGTGTGGGCCATGGCCCCTCCAGGGCACGTCTCTGCAAGGCTGCCTCTGAGCCCAGTCCCAGTTGGGAATGCAGAGTCTCAGGCCCCCGGGTCAGCATCTGCATTTCACAAGAGCCTGGGGCTATGTGCAGACTGCAGTGTGGGAAGAGCTGCCACTCTGAGACCGGCAAACTCAGGTCTATGCCCAAATCAGTGACTCCTCTTTAACCTCTCATTCAGGGACACCCCAAGTTAAACAGTCCAGAATTTTTAGAAATAAACATAAACATATGACAACCTTGTAAAGGAAAGTGGAGAAGCACCAGTCATTCTCCACCTGACCTCAGGCTCAGGGAAACTCCACACCTCTCCTTTCACAGCAGTCTGGCCCTTCCAGACCAGCCTCGGAAGAAGTCTCATTTATTGCTGAGCTGGCGGCCCTGCATCCACCTGGCCGCCCCCTGCTCCACCCCACATCCCACAGCGGTTGGGGCCTGAGTGGGTCTTTGCGGTCCAGGGCCAGCTCCTCAGCTTTGCAGATCCCTGGTTTTCGGTGTTCAGAGGAATAACCTGAGTTAGATACATCCAAATAGGACTGATGTGTTCGCCAGATTCCCCCATCAATGGATGGCAAAGCCTCTCCAAGCCAGAGGTGGCACTGGTGGATGTGGGTTTCTGCCCTTTTACAGTGGGGAGCACTCGGGGGTGGGGCTTGCTGGGGTGACTGCTGCAGGCTCTGCTTCCCCGCCCTGTGCTCTGCCCACCAAGACCACCCTTTTCAGTATCATTTAACCCCCACCATCCCAGCCAAGAAGTAGATGCAACTCTCAGCCCATACAGGTGAGGAAGGCTCCCCAGCACCCTTCTTCCAGCTGCCCACAACTCGGGACATTAGGCTTGAGAGTGGCAAACCCCATTTCTGGTCTCTTCTCTCCCTGGTTGATTCAGTTTCACACAACACATGGAGACGGTGGGAAACCAGACACGGAGTGCTCACCGGTGGCTCTGCCGCACCCTCGGCTGGCCTCCTCCGGCCTCAGCTCAGTTCCTCACTGCCCACAGGCCAGCCTGGCCAGAGACCGCGGCTCCTTTCCCACCCATCATGGAAGACTCACCCTAAGGAAAACATCTCCATGCAGGATTCATGCTAGGACCCCGCTCAGCATCCTCTGTGCTTTTAGGAAGAAGGAAAGGAAAGGAAAGATTTATTGAGGGTCTGTGTGTACCTAGAATGTGCTCGGTGCTTTGCTCTGTTATTTCGTTTACCCATCACACGCTCTAGGAGCACAAAGCTTGGCCTGATCTCTGCCAGTCAGGCATTGTTGAGTCAAGCTCGGATGACGGTCCTGGCAGGTGCAGAGGAGCCAGGCACCGACACTCCCATTGCCAGCGTGGCGTCCATGAGCCTCCCTTCCCTTAGCTAGATGCGGAGACAGCCTGCTGGAGAGGAGCTGGAGCAGCTTTGTTCTGGAAGGACCCTGGGGGGCCCCCAGGATTTCAGACACCCTCCTAGAAATGCAGCCCATCCCTGAGGGTGCAGGGGGGAGGACATTCTCCAGGAAGGGGACCCCAGGACAATAATGTGACCTTCCAATGTCTATTGTGCCTTATTAGGCAGGGCTGAAGATGAATGGGGTGCTGCTGTGTGGGGGCACCCTGATCAATGCCACCTGGGTGGTCTCCGCAGCCCATTGTTTCGACAGAATCAAGAACTGGAAGAACCTGACAGTGGTAGTGGGTAAGTTTTGTTCTTACCACCTTCCCATGAGAGACCGGTTCTTGAGTGATAACAACTGGGGGCTAAGACCAGGATATTGAACCTCCAACTTCCACAACCAGATGAGCTCCTCCAAAAAGGGAAGTGGGCAGTGTTGGGCAGCCCCAATGTGCACAGGGAGCCACTGTGACCACATGCCCTCAGCCCCTTCCCCACGCCCAAATAAAGACACAGGGGGTGATGCTGTACCCACCTGTCTCACTTGGGCCAAGAGCCCTGAGGGCGATGCAGCCACCCAGGGCTCCACGGGCCACCGTGGCTGGGCTTCTGCCCGGTGGATTTATGGGATGATGAGGAACCCCAGGGAGGGCCAGGCCCAGCCTGGAAAGCATGGTGGGAATCGGGCACTCCTCCTCACCTACCCACAGCTGCCTGCCCAGTACCCCCCCTCAATGCCTTGAGCACCCCAGGGTCCAGATTCACCCCCAATTCATGCCCTGTCTGGAGCCCAATGGTGGCCACCCAGGCCAGGCTGGAGTTGGACACAGGCCCCTCCTGACCTAAAGGAAGCTCTAACCCTCTTGAGGTTTGGGAAGGGCCATTCCTTAAGGCTGCAGGGCGAGGGGCATAAGTGGTGCTGGTTTCCCCATAGGTGAGCATGACCTGAGTGAGGAGGACGGTGATGAGCAGGAGCGGCATGTCACTCAGGTCATTGTCCCCAACAAGTACATCTCAGGCAAGACGGACCACGACATTGCCCTGCTCCGCCTGAGCAGGCCTGTGACCTTCACCGACTATGCAGTGCCCCTGTGTCTGCCTGAGAAGGCCTTCTCTGAGAGGACCTTGGCCTTCATTCGATTCTCGACCGTCAGCGGCTGGGGACAGCTTCTCAACAGGGGTGCCACAGCCCTTGAGCTCATGACCATTGATGTGCCCAGGCTGATGACCCAGGACTGCCTGGAGCAGTCGAAACAGAAGCCATACTCCCCAAAGATCACAGAGAACATGTTCTGTGCTGGCTACCTAGATGGGAGCAAGGACGCCTGCCAGGGGGACAGCGGGGGCCCGCATGCCACCAAGTTCCAGAGTACCTGGTACCTGACAGGCATTGTCAGCTGGGGTGTGGGCTGTGCAGCCAAAGGCCATTTCGGGGTGTACACCAGAGTCTCCCAGTACATTGAGTGGCTCCAAAGGCTCATGAGCTCAGACATACACTCAAAAGGCCTCCTCCGAGTCCCACTCCGCTAGTCCCTCAGTGTTGGCTCCGTGGACCCTGCCTGTGAAATAAAGCTGCTGTTGCTTGAGTTGTCCTGGCTTCCAATCCTGTAACTACTTCTGCCCTTGTTGGGGAGGGAATAAGGAGAGGGAGGGAGAGAAACAGAGAGACTGAGAGAGAGACAGAGAAGGAAAGATAGAGTGAGAGGAGAGAGAGACCAAGAGAAGGAAAGTGGAGAGAATGAGGGATGGGGAGAGACAGAGATGGAGAGGAAGATGGAGACGAGCCTAAAGAAAGACCTCAAGGAGTGGGGAGAGAACAAGAGGGATGAGGGAGATGCAGAGGCTCAGAGAAAGTGAGGGGAGTGGTTCTAAGGAGAAGGAGAGAGACTCAGAGATTCACAGAGACAGACTGAGGAGGTAGAAAGATGAGTGACACAGGACCGGTGGGGAGGGGACAGGAAGCCCTGCGGCGGCAGACGGGGGCAGTGACTGCGCCTCATGTGCACACCTCTGCTCCGTTTCCCTGCGGACAGACGCAGCCAGAGAGGGGTGTGTGTGTTCACCTGGCGACGTGTGCCACATTCTGAGGGCTGTCTTTTAGCTTTCATTTTTTCCTTTCCATACAAGTATTTCATCTTTGTTTCAAGTAAATTAGGAGCATCGTCCACTCACTTTGCCGGCTGTCCTTCCAGATTTGTTCTGCACATGTATCTTTTACCCTGAAACAAACCACATAAAACGCTCTGTACGCTGTTTGCCTCGGTTCCCCCCTCAAACAACAAACAGCTGAGTCTTCTCCAAGCATTTTCCCCTGCAGCCTGCCAATCACGGGCTGTCTGCACTCATGTCATTGAGCCCCTGCTGTTCATCACCGATCAAGCTGTTGGTAACATGACGAAGTGAACATTTTTACATGGAGGCTGGTTTTTAAAACCGAGAGCTCCCTCATGAATTTTGGAGGCAGCCGTTCCCAAGCCCTATAGACCTGGGTGTGCTCTTCCTGCCTCGGCCCTCATCAATGGCAGTCCTCAAAGACAGTCCCTGGGTACACCCGCCTGAGAACCACCAGGGACACTCCACAAAACGGACACTCCACACAATGCATGTCTGCACATCCTGCCCAGACCCGTGGGATCTGAGGGTGGTGGGGCCTGGTGGGTTACATGGTTATCCAGTCCCTCAGGTGACTATGGGCACACTAAACCTAGGGTTACATAGGTCCCAGGTAGGGAAGAATGAAACAAACAGTCCAAGTTCAAAGGGGCCCCGCTTGAACTTGGTGAAGGTGGGTGGGGCAAACCCAGTAGGTACTACCCTCCCTCAGGGCAGGATGGGAGGGTGGGCACTGGCCTGTCACGTGCCTGGAGTGCTAATAGTCCTCAGTGTGCGCGAGTTCGGGGGCTGGGACTGGCTCTGCTGGACAGTCGAGCCACATTTAGTTTTGAGCAGACCGGAGTCCACAAGCTACAGGTAAGGCTGAATGCAAGCCACCTGATTTTGTAAATAATGTTTTATTGAGACATCAATTCTTTTACAAACCGTCCATGGCTGCTTAAAACCACAGCGTTGAGTATTTGGGACAGAGACCCTCTGGCCAAAGAGACCACCTGACCCACAGACCCAGTGATTGATCTGGGCCTTTAAGGAAAGGTCCACTGCCTGGTCAGGCTGTAATTTTTAGGGATCTCGCCAAGTGGTCGGTCATGCACTGAAGCACCCAGCACTTCCTGGACTCAGCCCAGCCCTGCCTACAACTCCTGGCCGAGCCGCTCACCCTCTCTGTGCCCTGTTTCCTCCTCTATAGGATGGCAGCCCGCCTCAACGCCCGTCACGGGAATGAAATCAGTGCGTGCGGAATGGGGCCTCTCGGGGAGCTCGATCATGTCGTCCCGGATGGTGAAGCGGATGGGCAAACACCCAGATGTCCTCCAGATCGACTGTCTGGGCTACAGACACTTACTGGAAATTCTGCCACCAAAATGCAAGAGCTCTTCAGAGGGCCTCAGCCCAGCGAGGCTCTAGTTTCTTCCTGGAAATGAAAGCTATCTGGACACTGGTCCTGGAAAGAAAAGGGTGGGAATGGGGCTGAAGTGGCCAGGCCAGGAGCCCCCCAGGTCCGCATGGGGTTATACATGGTCCTGGTGGGTCACTGGCTCTGCCTCGGTTTCCTCAGCTGTCAATGGGTGGCAAAGCCTCGGTCTCATGGAGCTGCTGTCCGCATGGGTGCCCAGCAGCATTGGGACACCCCCAAGGGCTAACACTGGACGTGCAAATGTGCTGACCGTATGGGTCAGTTCTATCTTTCTGTGAGGGGCGATTAGGTTCATTCCCTGCCCCCCGCCAGGTGCTGGGGACAGGGAGGGTCACACAGCATCCGGCCTCCCCACACAGGCCGAATTTGTCCAGAAACAACATCACAGCACAAATTGACCTGGTGAGACAGGCCCAAGGCAGCACCTACAGGCTGTCCCTGAAGACCAGGCTCTGTATGTCACAGCGACCACCCCACAAAAGACCTGCCTGGCCTCAGAGCACACAGCAGGCAAGTTTCCAGAATGAACTGACTCACTCCATCTCTTCTTGTTTATTAAGCATCTACTGTGTGCCAGACAGCCTTCTAGATGATGCAGACAAAGCAACAAATGAGCCAGATGATGAGACTTACATCCAAGTGATCACTGGCTTTGGATAACCCATCACCAGGTGCAGAAGTGTTGTGAGCAGTGGACACTGTGGAATAGAGCGCAGCCTTTTTCTGCTTCTGTTTCTGTCTCTGTCGGTGCAGCACTCGCCTTGCCGGCCACTCCCCAGGCCTTTTCCTTCAGAGCCTGGAGTCTGGCTGCAGAGACCCTGGTCAGCCATGGAGCTCAGGTTGTGTCCCACTCTTGATGCCCGGGAGGTTGCTGCTCTGTGAGTGAGAACTGCTACTTGGTGTGCACGTAGCACATGCATCTCCTTCTTCAGCCTGGCTGCCAAGGTGGCAGGCTGCTTTCCCTGGCCTGAGGTGACTCGCCCTTCCCTGATACCTGTCCTTTGTTGCAGAGACACAACCCTGAGTTTTGGACTCTCCCCAGGATGACAGCCAAGAAACAAGACTCCTGCATTCCCTGGAGACAGTACCATGCCTATCTCCTGGCCCTGCATGAGGGGAGTGCAGAGTGGGAGCTCGGGGAGTGAGTCACCCTGCCAACTTCCGAGCGCTCTTCCAGGTGACCCGTACTGAGTGGCACGTCCGTGAGAAACGCACCACACTATGTGGCCTCTGACTCAGGGCTCATTCTCCCTCCCCCCACCCCAGCCCCCAGTAGAGTGTGTGAGGCAAAGTTGTTGTCAAGAGAAGCCATGTGCCTCATGGCCTAGCCGTGGAGCTGAGAGGCATGCTGAGTATCTCCTGCTGGCACAGCCCCTCTTGACCTTGAACCAACTTGTCCTGTGGTCAACAGGCCACTTGAGGCTCCGGCAGAGCAGTCTCCTCCAGGCATGCCAGGCAGGGGTATCCTCCCAGAAATATGTGTAGGGGCCTGGGCATGAGACGTCATGAGGCATGGAAGGGTCACAAGACAAGCTCTGCCTCCCAGAGCCCTTGAACTTGGGGGGATGGAGGTGTAAGCCTGACATGCCAACGATGCGCAGGCACCAGGACCCTCTGTGCTAGAGGCACTTTGTGGGTCCCCACCTGATACCACCTGGAGAGAGAGGCCTATGAGCAGAAGGACCAGTTCAGACGGAGGAAAAAGCGGGACCCTGAAGTGGAAAGTCCTATGTTCAAATCCCACATGCACCGCAGATTCTTCATCTCTCTCTAAGCCTCAATTTTCTGTTCCAGAAAAAAGATGGAGTGATACTTAGCTTTTATCATATTGTAAGGATGAAATGAGAGCCACACGTAAACATCTGAAAACCTTAAAATCACATTTTTATTTTCTTAGAACAAAAAGTTCCTATGGCCAAAGCGGGCCCCACTAGATACCTTTACCAATGAGGTTCCAGTGGGACCTCCCCAAGGCTGCACAGGCCAGGTGACAATGCCCCCAGCATAGTTGCCTGCCCCTGTCCCTCACCCCCACTGGCCCAGGATCCAATCAGAAGGCTGTGATAAGCAGAAGGACAATCATCCACCCTCTGAGCCAGGGTGGGTGAACCTTGCCCTGGAGGCCTGTCACAGTGGGGACAGAGACACTGCCCTAGGCCACACCATGGCCAGCCCGCTGTGCCTCGTCCTGCTCAGTGCCTCACTGGCCAGCCTCCTGTCACCAGGGGGAAGTGGTAAGTGCCCCTCAACCTGCAGACTGGAGAGGTGGCCTCAGGGAGGAGGAGAGAGGTGGGGAATTGGAATGATGCTCTTGAACCTCCACGGTGTGGATAGTGGGTGCCGGATAGGCTGACATGGGACAGCTGGGCTCGGTGGTCTCAGCCAAGGTGGCTTAGGCCAGGTGTGCCTCCCTGTGGTTGGAAAGTCAGACAGTGGGTCAGAGGTCATAAAGACAGATAGCAACACATGGACAGAGAAAGAGGGAGAGAGACAGACAGAGACAGACAGACAGGAAGACAGAAACAGACAAAGAGAGAGGACAGAGAGGGAGGGAGATGGAGGAAAAGAGGGAGAGAACAGAGAAATGGCAGGGAGAGACAGAGAAAAATCCCCTTTCCCTGCCAAAGTGAGCTGGGGGAGGAGAGGATGAGGGGTAACAGGCAGAGAGGAATTCCCACGGCGGGGAAGACAATGAGGGAAAAGCTGGTGTCCCCGTCCTCAGGCTGCCCAACCAGAGGCTAGACAGAGGGGGGACTCTGGACCTTCCAAGATCCCGGGGTCTGCCCAAAGAGAAAAGGCTGAGCAAGGAGAGAAGCAGAACAAAGAGAAAGAGCAGAGGTGGTATCACCCACCTCTGGTGGGATTTGTCTACATTCTGGGTCAAGTGCAAGCACAGGAGCACTGAGGTGCAGACCCAGGTGTGGGAGTTGATAAAGCAGTGAAAAGTGAAAGAGAAAAACAGAACAGGGAAGACACCCGTGTAGGGGAATGATGGAGCAGAGAAATCAATGTGTGGATTTGGTTTCAAAGCAAGCACTTGATATTGTAGCAGATACTCAGAGTAGTGGGGAAGGGGCAACCAAATACCAAGTTTGAACCAGATGCTGTTGGGTAATATTGATGTCACTAGAAGAAATGAGGAATTTGGAAAGGAAAGTGATTTGGGGTAGGAATGAAGTTAACCTTTATTGAGCACCTAATGTGTACCAAACTGAACACCAGGAGTTATATACAGTCTTTAAAACATCTCTAAGGTATAAGTATGTATTGTAATTCCCATTTGCCAACATTAAGCAGTAAATGACTAAGATGTATTTGAAACTCAAGCCTTCTTGATTCTGCAGTACTGTTTTGTTTTGTTTTTTTTGTTTTTGTTTTTGTTTTGGGGTTTGTTTTTTTTTTTAGTTTTGGACATGGGGAGTTTGGAGTTCTGAGATGAGGAGAGACATCATCCATCATGATGAGAGTTGAAAACACAGAGCTAGGATGCAAGTTGGGACTGGAAATATCAACTTGGAGAGTTTTTATTACATGAGACTAAATTCTTCAGTTGAAAAAAGATAGAGAGCAGAGAGCAGAGTGCAGAGAGCAAAGAAAAGAACCTGAGGTCCTCCTGTACCACAACGAAAAGAAGAGGAGTGGTTGAGTGAGAGATAAGACTCAGGCAGAGAGGTGGGACGATTCAGCTGTAGATAGATACCATGGCAAGGATCCAGAGATTCTCTGACCCAAGACATGTTAATTGGCAGGTCATGACTCATTTGTGAGTCATGAAATCAATTGAGTGGGTTTTTAAATTATATTTTGTTATTTATGCTATTACAGTTGTCCCAATATTTCCCCTTTTGTTTCCCTGCCCCACTCCCTTAGGCAATCCCCACACGTTGTCCATGCTCATGGGCCATGCATATAGGTTCTTTGGCTACTACATTCTCTATGCTGTACTTTGCATTCCCATGACTATTCTGTAACTACCAATTCGTACTTCTTAATCCATTCACCTTTTTCACCCATCACCCCCCACTCCTCCTTTCATCTGGCAACCACCAAAACATTTTATGTATGACTCTGTTTCTGTTCTGCTTGTTTATTTTGTTTTTTAGATTCAGTTATTGATAGATGTGTATTTATTGCCATTTTATTGTTCATATTTGTGATTTCCTTCTATTTAAAGAAGACCCTTTAACATTACATATAATACTGGCTTGGTGGTGATGAACTCCTTCAACTTTTTCTTGTCTGGGAAACTATCTGTTCTTCGATTCAAAACAATAACTTTGCTGGGTAGAGTAATCTTGCTTCTGGCTCTTACTTTTCATCACTTTGAATATTTCTTGCCAATCCCTTCTAGACTACAAATTTCCTTTTGAGAAATCAACTGACAGTCTTATGGGGACTCCCTTGGGGGTAACTAACTGTTTTTTTCATGCTGCTTTGAAGATTCTCTGTTCATATTTAACATTTGGTATTTGAATTATGATGTGTCTTGGTGTTGACCTTTTTGGGCCCATCTTGTTTGGACTCTCTGTGCTTCCTGTATTGTACATCTATTTCCTTCACAAGTTAGGGAACTTTTCTTTCATTATTTTTTCAAATAGGTTTCTAATTTATTGCTCTCTCTCTTCTCCTTCTGGCAGCCTTATGAGGCAAATGTTGGACCTCTTGAAGTTGTCCCAGAAGGTCTTACACTATCCTCTTTTTTTTTATTCTTTTTTCTTCTTGCTATTCTGATTAGTTGTTTTTTCTTCCTTATGCTCCATGTTGCAGATCTGATACTCAGCTTCATCTACTCTACTGTTAATTCCCTATAGATTGTTCTTTATTCCAATTAGTGTATCCTTTATTTCTGACTAGATCTTTTTTATGCTGTTGAGGTCCTCATGAAGTTCCTTGAGCATCCTTATAACCAGTGTTTTGAACTCTCCATCTGATAGATTGCTTTTCTCCATTTTGTCTAGCTCCTTTTCTGGAGCTTTGATTTGTTCTTTCAGTTGGGCAATATTTCTTTGTCTTCTCAGTTTGATAGCCTTCCTGTGTTTGTTTCTAATTACCATATTTTGCCATGTATAATATGCACCCATGTTTTCATATGAATTATACATGGAATTATTATATACATTTTTATGCCCATATTATGTAGTCATTATACCCATATATAATGTACATCCTTATTTTTCTCTCAAAAATTAGGGCAAAAATGTGCCTATTATACATGGAAAAATACAGTTGGTAGAGCTACTATGTCTCCCAGGCCTGATAGAGTGGCTTAATGTAGTAGGTGTCATGTAGGGTCTAGTGGCACAGTCTCCCCTATCATCCAAGCTGGGTACTCAAGGTGCACCTGCTGTATGGGTTGTGTACACTGTCCTCTTGTAGTTGAGCCTTGATTGCTATTGTCACGTCCAAGGTCAGCCACTGCCTATGTTCTGTCCAGGGTCACACACCATTAGCTACAAAGTGATCTGCAGATGGCTGCTACTTGTGCTGGGCTTGGAGGTGCTCAGGAGAAGACAAGCTGTGAACTAAGACTGGCTGCTGCTAGTGCAGGGCCTGGGGCAACTTGGCAAGAGGTATGGAGCTCACTGAAGCCAGATGCTGCTTGTTTGAGATAATTTAGAAAAACATGAAGCATGGGCCAAGACAAGCCATTCATATGGAAAAGCCACTGAAAACAGTTTGGGTGGCCCCAGAAGTTGGGTGGGGTAGGGCATCGGGGAATCCCCAGGGTAGGGCAAACAGTGTAAGCCAGGTTGATAGAGTATCAGATATGGTGCCCACCTGTAGCCTCTGTGGCTCAGTGGGGCAGGGGCGGGGGTAAGCCTCAGAAAACAAAAAATGGTCTCTGCCAGTACTTCTGTCTGGGAGAAAGTTGTCCCCCAACTCTTGCCCTGATGCTGGACAATTCAGTTCCTCCCCATATGTCTCTGATGTCTTTCAATCTATTGCCCCAGCACTGGAGCTCAGAGGGAGTGAGTCTGAGTAGATCTGTGCACAGGCCATTTTAGAGGAACTGCCTGGGATTTCAGGAGTTTCTGTCTTCCACAGTCTCAATCTCCACTGATTTTTACAGTCAGAAGTTATGGAGACTTATAATCCTGGCACTGGAACCCTGGGCTGGGGGGCTGGTATGGGGGCTGGGACCCCTCACTCCTGAGATATCCCTCTCAATTTTTATCTGGCCCCATGTGGGTATGGGACCAGCCCATTCTGCACTCTGCACCTCACCTACCAGTCTTGGTGTGATGTTTTCTTTAATTTTATAGTTGTAGGACTTCCATTCAGCTCAATTTCTAATGGTTCTGAGTGCTGGTTGTTCCATAGTGTAGTTGTATTTTTGATGTGGTTGTGTGAGGTGGCAAGCTGTGTTTAATTACACCACCATCTTGGCTAGAAGTCTTGGGGTTTTATTTTTTGATGAAACAGAATAGAATCAAGTAGAAAATTTTGTAATAAGTCCTAACTACTTATTATAAGTACTGTGGGTTGAAACAGTAGTAAGTATTACTTCTTGAAACTTCTGTTTTAATTGTGTGTGTGAATCCTGAGACTTGATATAAATCATACCTTTAATTGTAGATTGCAATCAAAACAATATCACAACTCCCCACTTAATTCAGAACTGAGAACTTGAAGGGTGTGTGAGATTCAGGGTAAGGGTGAGAGTGGAGGAGTATACCCTGAGCCAAAGCACGGAGTGGAGTAGCCTGGGGTGGGAGGCGCAGGGATGACAGTGAACTGGAACCACTCTGAGAAGGGAGAGTTCAAGAAAAAGGGTTTGGGTTGACCACCCTAAAGATGGGCATGAAAGCGAAGGGAGAATGTTAAGTTGATTGTATGGGATGTGTTTACTTCTCCAGAGAAGAACGTGTGGGGTCTAGAATAGGTGTCTTATTCTATAACTCAAGGAGGAGTCATGAGGAAGATGGGTTCCTTCCCAACTGCCTTAGTGCATGGAGAAGGTGTTTCCAGTCTTTTGCAGCACAGAGATGACGTGGTAGTACCGGCTGGGGGCAGAGCAGGTAATTTGATAAAGTGCCTTGTGTCCTTCCATGTCTTCCAGTGTTCATTAACCAGGAACGTGCCAACACTTTCCTGGAAAGGATCCGGAGGGCAAATTCAATGTTTGAAGAGTTGAAGAAAGGAAACCTTGAAAGAGAGTGTTTAGAAGAGACTTGCTCCTACGAAGAGGCCCGAGAAATCTTTGAGGACACGGAGAAGACGGTAAGGGTTGTGAGACAGGGATTAGTTGTGAGCTGTGCTGGGCCCAGATGAGGACCATGAAGGTATTGTTAAGTTGATTCTAAAACATAACAGGTCACACACACACGCACAGATGAGAGAGAGAGGGAGCTAGAGAGAGACATGGAGCCCATCATGTTTTTGCCCAAATCCATGCCCACAGCTATATTTACTGTTGGGCACTTGAGTTCCATCCTTTAGAGCAATGGGTGCGCAGGCGCATGACCAATGGTGAGCCGTGAGACCCAAAACCGTGCCTGCTTAGCAGAAAAGGGGGCAGCTCCAAAGCACCTTTCCCTTCCCCCTAGAATAGGCAGGGCCTTGTCCCTTTCTGGGAAATAGCTAATAAGCCTCCCCCGCCTTGGGTAGGGCCCTGGGGAAAGATGGCCGCCATGCAGAGATGAGGTGACAGTGGATGGCAGCAAGTGAAACTGGGCAAGAATGAACTGAAGGTGCCTCAAAGCTAAGAAGAAAGTCACAGAGAAGGAGGCCAAGCAGGAGCTCCACAAGAGACAGCTAGATCAGGCTTCTGCTGTCACCACCACACCACTGACAGCGGCCCCATCCACACTGCAGGACTGCAGTTAAGCATCCACCAGATGCTGGGCACTGGGGAGATCTGCCGTCACACAAGCTCCAGGTAGACCCGCTCACTTGCTGCACCTGGCAAACATCGCCTTAAAGGAGGCACGTAGGATCCATGCCAAAAGAGCTTCTGGGGGAAGTGCATCTTCTGTGCCCATAGAGATCAGGTCAAATTGCACATCTTGGCCAATGCAAGGATTTGAAATCAGAGGAAGAATTTATTCATATTGATAATCGACTACCTTGGGGAGACATAATTGGAGTTCAGGACAATCTTGGAAAAAACAAAAGGGTTTGCTGAGGGTCATTCTCCACAAAATCACACTACTGCCGCACGTGCTACCTCATTCTCACTGTGACTTCAAAGACAAGGAAACACGATATCATTGGAAATACTTGGGCTTGAACCTCAGTGAAGAAGAATTCTATCATTCACACTAAACGCATCACATATATAAGTTGTTTGGGGTAAGTTGGATTCCTAGACACTGAAATTCCTAGGATGAACGTTATTCCAAGGGGAGCAGTGGTCAAGCTTTTCATCACCTAGCACAATAAGCTGGACATGAACTTATGTACAAGAATTGCTCCAGAACTACTGTAAGATGGCAGTGGTCAGTGGTATTGACCAGGCTTGTGAAATTAGCTGCCACTTCCAGATGATTTGACTTTGATTCGCCACCTGTGAGTTTTACATGGCCTCCACAGACTATTACGATCTCATGAAATCATGGAGATTATATCAGGGTTGGTGAAGCATATTGCAAACAAGATCACACACCACTCCAATGTCCTGGAAGGACAAACCCACGAGGTAGACTTCACCCCATCCTTCCAAGGAGTCAGCATGGTAGAAGAACTTGAGAAAACCCGAGGAGGGTTTCTAACTAACCTGCCAGAGCCTGCCAGAAAATAAGCCTCTTCAGAATTGAAGAAACTACAAATATTCTTGATAATACCTGTGTGGCAAAAGCTATTGAGTGTCCTCCACCTCAGACCACAGCCACACTCTTTGATAATTTTGTACGAGAGTTGCTGAAAGCCCGGTGCAGCAATCCCACATTCACTTGTAATCACCCACGGACCCTAAGATCCAGGGCCAAATGGACCATTCTGGCGCTCAGCGAGCACTCTGACCTGTTTGTCATGGAGGAGGAAGCATGCAATGAGTTACATAGCTCGATATAGCAGCAAGCAGCTTTTTAAAGAACACAACCAAAGCATTCAAGATCTCGCTTCCTGGCAAGTATCATCAGTTTTGGTTCAAATCAACTCATAAAAAGTCGAAAGAAGGGTGGGGTAGAAGAAAAGGGAGAACAGACCAAAGCAGCTGATGAGGAGGAGGCTGTGTTGATAGATGTAAACCTCTGCGCGACCATGAAAAATGCACGGTTGGCTGTGATGACACAGGCATTAGCTACGTCACCATGTTTGTCTCAGACTCTAGCAACATTGGGGAAGTACCTGTTACCTACCATGAAGCCTGAAGATAGGAAGGAGAAAGTAGCCTCCACTAATACATCAGAAAACACAGTTGGCACTTCTGTCTAGAAAACAGTAATTGTTACGTTGTGTGACTCAGGCATCTTTGTGTTCCTGCAGAAGGTCGAGCTCTGCGGCGGGTTCTTGTATGCTTCTCTCCAGTTGACGGCAAGTGTTCGTTCCAGCCGCCGTAAGAGAGAGGAGGAATCGGGACTTCATTTTTACTCATTACCCGATAAGTGATTTGCCTCTTTAAAAAAAGTTACTCATAATTTCAAGAACTATTTTCATTTTTAACGTTCCATTCATTACATGTTCCTTTAATTCACATACACATATAGTTTTTTAAAACAGTAAAAGTAATTGTAATGCCAATCCAAGATCTCACCATCATTTCCCAAATACTTGTCCTCAATTCTATGTAGCTACCATACTCATAATTTTAAAGAGCTAAATCATAATTTGTTGTATCAGCACACCTACTTTTTTCATGTTTTGGCCATGTAAGTTATTTTTATTTTGCCATTGTGAACACACACACATATATTCCTTCTGGATTATCTTCTAAGAATAGCTGCTCCTGAGAAGGATTACCGGACCAAAGTCTATGACCAAGTTCCGGCTCCGAGTCATGTAAAGAAAGCACACTCTGCCCTGTCTCCAGTGAACACAGCTACAAAACCTGGACGCACTGCATGGAGCAGCTGTTTGAGGGCTCTGAAGAGTGAATGGCAGCAGTGCCTTGAAGAAGACCATATCTCAAAGTATCAGAGAATTGTGAGTTTGCCATTTTTTCTGCTCCAGATGTCCAGACATCATGTGACTTGAATCTATTTAATTGATATTTATAGGATTCCCAACAACAGTGGAATACAATTTCTTGCCAAGCACCCATGGAACTTTCTGCAAGATAGACCATATCTTGTGTCATAAAACACATCTTAACAAACTTAAAAGATCGAAATCATATAAAATATGTTGTCTGACCATAATGAGATGAACCAAAAATCAATAACAAGAGAAATTACAAATATGTGGAAACTAAACAACACACTTGTAAATAATATGTGGGCCAAAGAGAAAGTCTCAGAGGAAATTAGAAAATATTTTCAGCTGAACAAAAGTGAATATACAACATATAAAATCTGCGGAACTCAGCTAACATAGCTTATAGGGGAATTTGTAGTATTAAATGCTTTTATTGGAAAAGAAGAAAGGTCTCAAATTGATATCTGAAACTTCCACCTTAAGACACACACACACACAAAAAGCAAAATAAAACCACAAATTGGGTGCTTTAAAAAACCTATTCTCTCATTTCTGGAGACCACAAGTCTGACATGAAGGTGTCACCAGGGTTTGTTTCTTCTGGAAGATCTGGGAGAGAATCTGCTCCCGGCCCCTCGCCTCACTGCTGGTGGCTGCCGGCGACCCTTCCCCTAGAGGGACCGTCTCCAACCGCTGCTTCCGTCTTCACATGGCCTCTCTCTGAGTGCCTGTGTGTCCTTTGCTGCCTCTTACAAGGGCACTCTCACTGATTTAGGGTCCACCTTAATCCAGTTTGAGCTCATATCATTTGATTAATTACATCTGCAAGACCTTATTTCCAATTAAGATCATATGTGAGGTCACACCTAAATTTGGGGGTTGGGGAGATGCTCCAGACAGCAGCAAAAAAAAAAAAAATGGTTAAGACCATGAAGATTTGTAATGTAAATAGGCGCTTGATACTCTGCTTTAATGACTAATTATCATATTTTAAATTACCACAATTATTCACCAATAATTCAACACTTTGTTGAATCTTTGACCCAAGTACTTCAACTAAGAACCTGTTGGGGCAGCAAACAGAGCAAAGCATTTTGGTATAATCCATTTCTTGGTAATTAATTTGAAAATAAATTTTCAATACTCAACAGAGCTGGTAAATGAAGCCACACTTTTGTAGATGCAGAAGATCTAAAAACCTTTCCCTTTTAGATTGAACATTTCTAGAGCAGTGTGTCCCAGAGAATGACTTCCGTTTGGGAAAGTGCCCTGTCCAGGCTGAGCTACTAGGCTGTGGTTGTCACTGGTGTGAAATGCCTGCGTTTTCCCTAATGCACTTTACAATCTTTTTTTTTTAGAACGAATTCTGGAATAAATACAAAGGTGAGATGTTTTCTCTTTTAATCTTAAGTGACAGGGTTCATTAGGATATTTAAATTGGGAGAAATTGTACTTGAGTTTTTGGAAATGCTTCCTGAACTGCCTTTCTGCTCCTGTGTAGATCTCACTTATTTAACACTTTTCCCCTACGAGGATTTTTGTAAGTTATTGTGAAATGTTTTTTTAATAGTAACTTTATGCTAATTCTAGTTTTGTTACTTAAATATAGATTCAAATCAGTTTCTTCTCATTGAAGAATACCAAATTTGGTGATAATTTTTTAAATCCAACTATATTAGTTAGAAACAGAGTCTGACAGGTTGGGGCCTCTGACCAGGTAACCACCTTGATTTCATGTTTACGGCACCTGAGATGGTATTAATTATGACTGGTGTTTTTATTCTGGGAACAGCATTCAAATGTCTCAGAATGACTACTGGACTTACTTCTAAATTAGATTGTACAAAGGCACCACGAAATGCAAGGTCCCATTTCAGTGCTGAGCCGTTGCCTCTCCATTCTTGTTTCACCCCCAGGGTGTTTGGAAAGAGGAACCTTAACAGCCCTCTTGTTCAAATGCTCAGCCCACAGTGCAGGCGCTCGCACATCCTGCATCCTTCCAGCTGGTCCCCACGGTCGCCAGCCCACAGCTCCTCACTGTGAGGTAAAAACACTGTGAAATGTTTCAGCCAAAACTGGAAACCTCAGTCAATGATCCACTTAGAAAAGGGCATCACGATGTACACGTAGCCGCAAAAGGTGGGGTTAAAATGCAGTTCAGATGGGAGAAAGTGTTTACAGGGAAACAAGGAAGAATTTCAAGTTCACTCATGTTTATCTGAAAAATGTGTGCCAAGATCAACACAGCAAAGCCATTTTGCCGGCAAGCTTTGGTCTCCAAACAAACCCTTTCTCTGCAGATGGAGACCAGTGCGAAAGCAGCCCCTGCCTGAACCAGGGCGGCTGCAAGGACGGCCTCGGCGAGTACACGTGCACCTGTTTGGAGGGCTACGAAGGCAAAAACTGTGAATTACGTGAGTCTCTCTTCTCGGGGTGCTTTCACGCCAGAGGTACCTGAAGAATCAAAGCTGGGAAAGAGGGGAGAGCAGCCAAAACGTCAAGGAAACTATCTCAGGTCACTTCTGATTTAGAGCCTGTGCTCCATTATGATGGGCCACTGTAGTAAGAGGGGGAAAAAAGAAGAAGAAAATACAGTTAAAGCCCCCAAAATGTTCTCCAATCACTCAGTTTTGGAGTACATTCATAAGACACACAGTCACTTCTCTGAACATTCATGAAGCATGTGGCCCATCAGCACGGACACGAGGCCTGACTTTCTTCTCCTTGGAGCAGAATGTCTCCCTGGCCGCTGTGACTCCCTTTCCTCGTGGTCTCAGACAACGATTCAAACTCACCACCTTTCGCTTACATTCATTAGTGCAAATGTCCATACTAAGTGTTCGGGATTGTCCAATTATAAAAATTTGAAGCATTTAATTAATTCTACACGGAAGAGTCACTTAGAGTTTTCCTAATATGGAAAACAAATTGAATAAAAATTAGGTTAGTATTACCTAAGTTTTCCCTAAAGAGAAAAATTTGCATTTCTTTCAAGTTACTTCATTTATACTCTTGAGAATGTGCTCTTGGATTGCATGCCTTTGGAATTTTCCCCGATGGGAATATCAGTTATCCCAAGTCCAGAGCTGCCGCTCCCGCTCCTGCATGACTTCTGGCCGATCCCGGGGCTGTTGTGAATGTTTTTTACAGTTTCATTAATGTTGATCTTTGCACTATAATTATTTTCTCATCAAAACCTAAATGCGGCGTGTAAGTTACCAGGGCGGCATCACAGCGTGCCCTGGAAGTAGGCGGGTGACTCCGGCTGAGCCGGAGCTGCTTGACCGGCAGGGGCTGCCCTCGGCCGGGCCTTGAGGCCCAGACACGGCTCCAGGCGGGCACTGTGCCAAGAGATCCACGTGACCTGTGAGGGTTATCCTGTACGGTGGTGTGTCCTCTACCACTTTACCAGTGAGGAAACTGAGGCCCATGGGTTTAAATAACTTGCCCAATTCACACAAGTGACGGAAGGGCCAGTGTGGAGCTCGCGTCGGCCTGACTCCGGGGTCTGCACTGACTGTTTCTCTGTCCTGCCATGCTGGAGCCCAGACCCCAGGCTCTGAGGCCCTTGTGGTACAGGAATTCCTTCAGCCTCAGAGTAGCTGGCCCTCTGGCCACTCTGACTGGCTCCTCCTGACCACCTGGCGCCGGAACCCACCCTCCTGCCGTCAGCACATCCATGCTGGTCAGGACCCACATGCCTTTTTAGGGTTGAACTTAATTAAGACTCTCCCAGCCTCCAGGGCCCTCAGTGGGCATGATCAGATTACTTAAGAACCTTCTAGACATTGGTGCCCTGGGCCCGACAGACGCTCATGGTTTCCCCAGATGGTCTGGGGAGGCAGAGGGACAGTGAGAAGAACTCACGCAGAGGTGTGGGACCCTTACCCTCCAGCCTGCTCGGGGCAGCCTGTCCTATCTGAGCCATCTCACGGCTCTGGCCCTTAGTTCTAGCCGGGTGGCCCGCTGTAGGGCTCACGGGTGGGTGTTTGCCCCCCTGGGGTTGCTGTCCTTCCTTCCAGCCAGCTGCAGCCTCAGTTTCCCCAGCCTGTCCTGAGAGCCAACATGCCTCCCCTACAGCCACGCGAAAGTTCTGCAGCCTGGATAACGGGGAGTGCGACCAGTTCTGCAGCGAGCAGCGGAACTCCGTGGTGTGTTCCTGTGCCAGGGGCTACATCCTGGGTGACGACGGCAAGTCCTGCATTGCCACAGGTAGGGGAGCAGGGGGCCGGGCCACCACGGCTCCTTGAGTCAGAGCGGCAAAGGCAGCAGGACAGCTGGAGCATCCTGGGTAGGCCGCAAGGTTCGGAAACAGACCCACTGTTTCTGTGAGCATTTGAAAAATGGGACCAGCGATATTACCCAACTGCTTAGTGAGTGTGAAAAGTAAGGGAGTAATTCATGGAGGGCACTTTGCACAGTGCCTGACTCACTGCAAACCCTAACTATGTAATGGGTGTGAGGAAGGTGTGTTTTGTAGCCCTGGGTAGAGCCGGAGGCGGGGAGGCTGGGTGTGACAGTGGACCAAGGCGAGAGCACAGGCTGGCAAGGGGCACTGCAGGCCTGGCTGTGGGATCCATGGACTTGGGCCAGACAGGCAGCCGAGGACCCTCAAGAACTAATTTAGACTGCACGGGCCCCAATGTCCATCAAATTTATTTTTTTCTTTTCCTTGACAAAAGCTAGACACCATGAGTCTGACCTAGAAACTCCCAGAAGGCATGACCTACCTATTAAGGGGCTGAGTGATGTGGGAGGTCCCCCAGGGGAGGGAGTCCAGGTCTCACACACTGTGAGAAGCTCCTCCTCTGTGGCAAGGCCAGCCTGGGGCCAGAGGCTCTGAGAGGCCACCCTTTCTCTTAGCTTCGTCTCACAGTGACTCCAGCTTGCTCCTCAAAGTGTGGTTCCCTGACTGACCCATAGCTTCGGCATCAGCGGCGGGGGTGGGGGCAGGGGGGAGGGAAAGGGGTAAGTTGGAAGTACGCTGTCCCAGCCTTGCCCCCCACCCCGGAGGCAGGCACAGTCCAGGATGACTGCCATTGTGTAACCTCAGCTCCCTCAACAAGTAAAAGACGGTGTCATTTACCTATCTATTGGTCATGAGATTTCAAACGTCAGCTGGTTCAAAAATGGAGGGTAGACATGCATACAAATTTTGCTTAAATTCCAGGAATAATTGCAAATTAATTTAATAAACTTTGATGTTTGAAAATAAAATCAAGTAAACTACTTCTTAATTTAGAATTTCGAAGAGTAGTGAGTACAAAACTTGACCAGAGCTAGCAAACCATAGGGTGAAGAATTCTTTACCTCCAGCTAACACGTTCAGCAGAGTCCGATGGGGGTGGGCGGGGAGGGCTCCTCCAGGTCCCGCAGGAGTCCACCAGATGCTAAAAAGAACTAAGTTTTGTGTCTCTGATCTTAGACAAACATCAGGCAGCAGAGGAGGGCAACCACCCGTCCCCAGATCGGCCTTCCAACCCTCTCCCTTTCTCTGTCCTGCTCTGGTCCCTCCCTCCGCCTCTGTTCCCTAGTTGGTGGCCACACAGGAAGGAAGTTTTCTCGTATTTACTTGGCATCTCCCTTGTGTGTGGTGCCTCTAAGGACAGCTATCATTTTCAGACATTATCATACAAAGCCAGGGCGTCGTGCTCCTTTTTGTGCTTCAGATTATTTGCACATGATGTCCCTTTTCCCCAGGGCACTTTAAAAAAAAGAAAACACTTCAGCCCTGACTGGTGTGGCTCGGTGGATTGGGCACTGGCCTGTGAACTAAACATTTCATTAGCATGTGTCAAGCACACAGTGGGGCTGAAAGGGTTTGACAGTGAGCACCCGTAGGCCCCTGCCTGGGTTCTACCGTTAACATCTCCTGCTACTTGCTTCATCACCTGTCCACCCCCGGTTGGTTTTCTGTCCATCACAAGCCGCTTCATTATTTTTACACATTTCTGAGTAGATTACAGACATCCCCTTCAATGTTTCAGCATACCGGTCAACCCCAAAGGTCAGTATCCACGGCACTGTCATTTCGGTAAAACTGACACACAGTGTGTACACTGGTGTGAAGTGCACGTTCCCTGCATTGTGACAAATTGCATCCACCTTGTGACCCAACCCTACCAAGACACAGAGCACGCCACACCCCAGAAGTTCCTCACACCCCTTCCCAGGTTCTGAGCACACTCTTCACTCTTCCCAACTGCATTTTCCAGCTGCCTCACCCCAGTCCCCTGTAGGTTGGGCCCTCCCTGACTCCTCCTGCCCCATAGTAACCTAGGTGTGAGGTAGGGAGGTGTTCTCTTTGCTGAAGTCCCAGGCCTTTTTTTTTTCTTAAGATGCTTTTCCCTGTGGGAAACACACTGAGAAAATTAGGAAAAGGTCGGTGGCCCAGACCTCCTACGACAGCGAGGATCCCTCCCAGACCGTCATGCCGGACCTGTACGACCCTGGAGACCTGGGACCCACCATGAACCCTTACCATCTGCTGGACCTCAACAGCACAGAGCCTAGCTCTGTGGACGACCAGACGAAACTCATCCGGATAGTGGGAGGGAGGGACTGCAGAGACGGCGAGTGCCCCTGGCAGGTAACTGCTGAGCGCGCCAGCGAGTTGACTGGGTGGGGGAACCCAGCCTGGCTGGGCGTTGTGGGCATGGCCATCAAGGCCCAGGCTCATGCTGCCCAGGCACACGCGTGGGCCCTCAGCCGGCTTTGGGCCCCACTGCTGAGAGGCTGAAGGAGCCTGAGAGGAGAAGAAGCTGGGCCCTTGCCAACGCCCTTCCAGCCCTGCTGCCCATTCCCATCTGTGGGCTCAGGATTTGAGTCCTAAAATCTCTACCTACAGTAGAAGGAGAGATGGGGTGCCAGCTGAGACTGCAGGTTTGGAGAGCAGGTAGAGGGCAACTCCCCATGGTGGGCGGGGCCTCCGCTTGCTATTCTCTTTGCCTGGAGGCAGAAAGATTCACTCTCCTTGTTTCATTTCTAATTTGGTAAAGTTTTTTTTTCTATTCAAACACTTAAATTCTAATTAGGTGTTCATTTGGATGAAGGTCACCAGATTCAGCTAATAAAAACAGGACTTCCACTTAAATTTGAATTTCACATAAACAATGAATAATTTCTAATGTAACATACGACAGGTATTACATGGGACATACTTATTACACCAAAAATTATTTGCTATTTATTTTATTCAAATTCAACTAGATGTCCTCTATTTTATCTGGCAATCCTAACTTGGACTTGTTTTTAGTGCCCAAAGCCAAAATGGCTTCTCCTACAAGCAAAAATCCCAGAGCCACCAACAACCTTCCTTCAGAAATTAATTCAGCTCACACTCACCTCCAAGGTGCATGGCAGGTGTACATTTGTCTGAATTGCGAAGGGCCCAAGGGAGGACATTTCCACATCTAGTTTTTTGCGGAGAACTTGAATGTCGGGCCCAGAACTGAGGGTTGTGATGTAGGCTACAAAACCATCAGAGCTAATTTTCTGACATGTGGCCATCTAGACCTGGGAGGTGAGGTGCACTTGAATGACCACAATTCAAGTTGGTGTGGGATAAAGGCCACGAAAGCGGTGCCAGTGGGCATAGATGAAGTTCCACCGGGAAGAATAGGACAGGCTCCCCACAGGGTGGAGGTGCCCTACTCGGAGCTCTGAGAGAGGCTCTACACGGACTCCACAGGCAGACAGGGCGGGGAAGGGCGCTCAGGCAGGAGGATCCTCCCCAGAAGGTCCCCCCGCCCCGTGGATGAGGCTACGGGCATCCGGGATTCTCACTCTCCTGGCTCCAGGTTTAGCAAGTTGCCTCGTCTCCATCTTTGAGAATAACAGTCAGTGTCCAAATCTTAGAAAGACTGATTCTCCCTCACTCATTACCCAAGTTGCATTATGAGTTGATAAATTATGCAAAAAAGGGCAGATAAACATTATAGTGGGTCCTTGTTAAAGTGGTTCGACTTACAACTTTTCAACTTTGTGGTGGTGTGGAAGTGCTACATGTGGGTCTTCCCGGGACCAGGCAGGCCGGGTGGTATTCTCTCCTGATGCTGGGCAGTGAGCCAAACTCCCAGTCAGCCACACAATCAGGAGGGCAAACAACTGAGATGTTACAGTGAACTGTGTTGCCAGTGTTTTTGGCTATTATGTTCTGAGCACTATTTTTTTATTTTATTTATTTTGAGAGAGAGGAGAAGGGAGAAGAGAGGGAAAGATACATTGATGTGTGAGAGATACATCAATTGGCTGCCTCTCCCATGCCCCCAACCTGGGACCTGGCCTGCAACCCAGACACGTGTCTTGACTGGGGTTCGAACCCATGACCTTTCAGTTCACAGGCTGGGACTCAACCCACTAAGCCACACCAGCCAGGGCTGTTCTGAGCATGTTGAAGGTTGGCTAGGTTAAGCTACGGTATTTAGTATGATAGGTGCATTAAATGCATTTTCAACTTACGATATTTTCAACTTACAATGGGTTTATTGGGATGTGACCCCACTGTAAGTCAAGGAGCATCTCTACCACATACTAATCAGGAACAGCTTCAAGAATTCTTTTAGAACTTGATGTTAATTGTGTCATTAACCTACACACATCCCCAGCCTATAACTCTTGCTTAGAGGATGAGGAATTCCCAAGAGAAAGGAAACAAACAAACAAAATGCTCCATCTCTGGATTTGCAAGCCTGGTCCTTTGTGGGGAAAAGAAATAAGAGAATTGTCTTTCTATAGTGCCTTTCCCATGCTCCATCAATGCTCATTCCCAGTGGAATACTCCTCACTCCCAAACCCCAGATCAGGGTGAAAATCCCTTCCAGAAGTGGCCATATAGATTTCCCTGGAAACTGACCTTGATGGTGGCATTCCACGGGCTGTGGGAGGATGGCTTGGACAGTGGAACTGCTCTAGAGCCCAAAAGTCACACCAGCGTAGACAAGCATTTTCTCCACAGGCTGGTCGAGGGTGTATAATTTATAGCCACACAGACAAGAAGGATTTTTACCATAGTGAACACTGTTTTTCTGTGCATAACTCTTCAGAGAATGCTATGACAGATCCAGAAGAAATAGAAGACTAATTTTGCCCTGGCTGGCGTAGCTCAGTGGATTGAGCACGGGCTGCGAACCAAAGTATCACAGGTTCGATTCCCAGTCAGGGCACATGCCTGGGTTACAGGCCATGACCCCCAGCAACTGCACATTGATGTTTCTCTCTCTCTCTCTCTCTCTCTCTCTCTCTCTCTCTCTCTTCCCTCTCTAGAAACAAATAAATTCGTTAAAAAAAATCTTTTAAAAGAAGACTAATCTTTGTCTTCTATTGAGTTTGTAGTGCAGGTGAAAAAGGAGGTGGATAAATTATGGCAAAACCTGACTGAGTGGCTAGCACTTGCCACTTAGTAGAGCCCCAACAAATGTCTGTGGAGTGAACAATTAAGTCAATCCATTGGCTTGTGGGTGAAGCAAAGACAGGAAGGCATGAGGTGCTGCCCACACCTGTGCTGTGGAATCAGGAAGAGGGTTCAGAGGAACTGGGAAGGTGCCATGGGGTCCACCGTAAGCCACCTCTTGGAGAACATGCCAGGGTGCTGGACTGAACAGCCAGTGGGTCTGCAGTGGGGCAGAAGTTCTGCAGGACTGGCCACACTGGGCCACAGCCTGAGCAGTCTGGTGGGCACGGTGGGTGTGCTGGCTTGGGCCTTGCATTCCGGTCTGAAGGCCCCACAGTCCTCTCGTGGGAAGGGGCAGCAGAGCAGGGAGCAGGAACAGCGGGAGGCTCGAGTAGGCACACCAGCTGGGGAGGAGGACACCCTAAACCAGGTGGGCTCAATGGAGAGGAAGGCTTGAATTAAAGGTTCCAAATTCCTCTTCCCAGAAAGTCACACTCAACCTGTTTGGCTCTGGCATTCTCTTCACAGGCTCTGCTCATCAACGAGGAGAACGTGGGCTTTTGCGGTGGCACCATCCTGAATAACTTCTATGTCCTCACTGCCGCTCACTGCCTTCTCCAAGCCAAGAGTTTCAAGGTGAGGGTAGGTAAGTGGCGCCAACACCCTCAGCTGCCCCACAGGGCCCACTGCCACTTCATATTTCCAGAGGCCATTAGAACTGATCAGATTTGATGGAAACATTAGATAAAATTACTGGAATCCGGACTGGGGGCTGGGAGAAGTTTCACAGAGGAGGAAGAGGAGCAGAAGTAGAGGCAGAGGAAGAGGAAGAAGGGGAAGAGGGAAACAGGAGGAAGGGAGGAGAAGGAGGGGAGGAGAAGGGAGCAAAGGAAAAGGGGAGGAAGAGGAGGACAGAGAGGTAGAGGAGAAGGAGGAGGGGGAGGAGGGGGGACTTGAGATGAAGAGCGGGGAGTAGGAGGAAAATGAGGAGGCTCAGTAGGTCCAGGAAGGGGCGGGGTGGCCTTCCCGGAGCTCCGCCCCCCACGCCCCCCCCTGCCCCCCCCCCCCGTTCCCCCCCATCACAGCCCTCCCTGAGGCACTAGGTGTCCCTGCCCAGGGCAGTGGGCCTGGTCGCTGTGAACTTTCCTCAGAGCCCCACTTCAGGAATCTGAGCACCGAGTTTCCCTGCCTTTCACATTTGTGTCTGTGGACTATTTCGTCATGTCTGTCCCCCTCTACCAGACTCCAGAGCTGTCTGACACAGGCCACAAAATGCGAGCCACATATGTAATTTTAATTTTTTGGTTACATTAAGTTTTTATTTTACATTTTTAAAGTTTATAGGTGAAAAATCAATTTTAGCAATGTATCTTATTTTATCCAATATATCCAGAATATCATCATTTTGATATGTAATCAAATTATAAAATTATTTATAAACTATTTTGAATCCTTTTTTCTTTCTAAGTCTGAACTTGGACTCTCACAGCACCTCCATTCAGACCAGCCACGTTTCAAGGGCCCGGTTGCACCTGTGGCCGGTGGTGGCCCTCTAGACCGGGCGGGTTGAGAGCATAAGACCTTCAGCTCATCCATGTCCCTGGCACATGACACCCACTCAGAAAATATCTGTCTGCCAATAAATGAACCTAAAGTCTCCGAGGCACTGAACATACGTAGAAAAATATGACGAAGAGTTGCCCCTAGATCATGAAATTGAAGGCCATTTTTATTTATCTCTTTATGATTTCCTACATTTTTCGAATTTTCTAGGGACCATACACCATTTTTTAATAAAAAAAAAAAAATAATAGCCACTTTAGAAAGCCACCCCATGGGAATGCTCGGCCCCGGCTGAGCCGACACCGTGTGCTCTCGCCACGCTCCAGGTGACCAGAACACGGAAGAGGAGGACGGCAACGAGATGGTGCACGAGGTGGAGATGATCATAAAGCACAACAGGTTCAACAAGGAGACCTACGACTGCGACATCGCCATCCTCAAGCTGAGGGTGCCCATCACCTTCCGCAGAAACGTGGCCCCTGCCTGCCTGCCCGAGAAGGACTGGGCCGAGTCCGCGCTCATGACGCAGAAGACGGGCATCGTGAGCGGCTTCGGGCGCACCCATGAGAAGGGCCGTGCGTCCACCACCCTCAAGATGCTGGAGGTGCCCTATGTGGACAGGAACACGTGCAAGCTGTCCACCAAATTCACCATCACCCAGAACATGTTCTGTGCTGGCTACGACTCGAAGCCTGAGGACGCCTGCCAGGGGGACAGCGGGGGCCCTCATGTCACCAAGTTCAAGAATACCTACTATGTCACCGGCATCGTCAGCTGGGGAGAAGGATGTGCACAGAAGGGAAAGTTTGGGATCTACACCAAAGTTACCAACTTCCTCAGGTGGATCAATAGATCCATGAAAGCCAAGGTCAGGGCCCACAGTGAGCAGGAGGACCCTACGTTGTCCCCTGTACTACAGTGATCCCACCAAAAGACCCACTGGCAGCCACTGGTGTCCTGTTTTGTCTTAACACTTGCCACTCTGATCAGGCTGAATCCTGGAATAAGTTTCCTTTCTGTGATGAGTAGATCTGTGTTGTTTCCTTATCCTGATTTTGCTCTTGCTCTCTAGAAGTGGGGAATGAAATTTTCGTTTGGAAACTAGACCCTGCCTTTCCCCCACCAGGTCGGAGGAGTCCCCCTGGGACTGTCACCGTTTATAGAACAGGGGTTTACGCTCCCTGGGATGACTCCTCTTCTCAAAACCAGGAGGGAGCCATTTCCATTCATAGCACGTTTTTCTGTTTCCGATTGACCTAAGAAGCCGTCTTGGCCGGCCACATGCACACTTGAGAATAAATGGCCAAGGTTCTGGGAGCAAGAGAGAAGACACAGCAAGGGTCAGGGCCAGACCACGACTGGGCAACCTCACTCTGGGGTTGGGGCGGGGAGTGGAGGGTGTTCACCACATGTGCCAGCATAGCTTCCCTAAGCCTGTCATTCACCTTCTGGAATGAGACAAGTGTGGGCATGTGTCCTCCAGGGGCTTCCTGTGAAAGGCAGACTCCTGGGGAAGGGAAGGCCCAGAGAGCTTCTCACTGGTGGGGACATTTTAACATGTGCCTTCACACTACAATCAACTGGGCACTTTTAAAATGTGCCCAAGCCTGGGTCCACTCTGGCACAGTCTCCTGAGCAACTTACATGCCCACCAGGTGCCACCTGCCCCCAGACCGGAAGACGCTGGAGTCCTTCATCCAGGCCACAGCCCAGAGCACTTAAATCAGAGCCCGTGGGGTGGGCATGGGCCCCCTCGGTTTCTACCGTTCCCCGGGTGACCCTGGCACGTGTGGCGTGTGTTGTTGGGGGCTGTGCGAGGGCTCCGCCACCTTGGACTGGATCACGTCTAAATGCCACGTCCTTTCCCATCCGAGCCCTGCCCACGCTGGCTCCAGGCCCTCAGCTTACATGGTCATGAAAATCAAACATTTTAGAAAATGGAAAAGGTCACCTCAGACCAGACCAGCGTGTTCCAGGTGTCCCTATACAGTTTGCGTTTTGCGCAACTTTGCTCAGCAAAGTTTCAAAGTCCCATTACAAAAACTCCCAAAAATGTCAGTAGCTTTTTTTCACTTTTATAAACAGGAGCTATTGCAAGGTTAGAGTGTTTGATAAACACAAGACATTGCACAGTTAGAAAAATCAATATTGACACATTCGCAGTTTCCCAGAAACAGTCTGCGGAGAGCAGGAAAAGCTGAGGGTGACATTTCTCCCCTTGCCTGCCTCGGCTCATCCCTCCCTGGGGAAAAGCCCTCCGGTGGCAGGAGACCATTGTATTGTCGGGTGGGGAGTTTTCTGTGCAGTTGACGTCTCTGTCCCCAGGCAAACCCCAAACGTGGGTTCCTATCTCTGGAGGTCAAAGGTTGTTTGGGGTCCAGAGAGGACACCAGGGAAGAGTCATGAGGAAAGCCTGCCTTTGTTATTACTACTTGATTTCGCGCTGTTGGCCACTATCATTGGCGACGGAGCTCATGCATGTATCAGAGAAGAAGGGAAACTGAGGCACAACAGAGAGAAGTGTGGGAGGAGCCTCCACCACCTTTGTGGGTCTACTTATCTCCCCCATCCAGAAACAGATTCAACTCTGTGAGGTTCTAGAGGAAATAAGGGGGAGCGATGGGGATGGGTGCTTTGGTGGGGGGGGGGCCCTGGCCTGGGCCTCACAGATGGGGTGCCCCCAGCTCTGCTCATCCCTGGGTGCCCTGGGACAGCGCAACTCCATCTCTGCGGATCTCCGTCGGCACGGGAGAACAGAGCTAATGAGGCTGCCTCATGTACATGTTAACCCTGAACATGGGCCAAGGCTTGTGTGCAGAGGGACGTTCCCTACCTGCTGCCTCCAGAGCTTTCTCAGGGAAGTCATCTGCGGGCACAGAGACCAGGAGGAAGCCAAGGGTGAGGAACCAACGAGGAAGGCAAAGCGAGGGTTTGATGGTTTTCTTCTCAGAGTATGGGAAAGGTTACAACACTACAGTAAAGCCATCTTCTCCCTGGGCACTGCCACCGCCACCCCTACACATGCATGCTCAGTTTCTGAGGGTGCGAGAATGAAGGGAACACCGTGGGAGCACACGCCTCGAAACGTGGAGGGTGCTCTGGATGGTGATATGAGGTTTGAAGGGACAGAGAGGCCCAGCTGAGTGTGAGTTAGGAAGCAGAGGAGAGCGTGAGCCAGCTACGTAGTGGCCGGGCCCAGTGCTGCTCCTGCAAAACCAGCAGTGGTAGTAGGTTCGCAAGCACACAGGCGGCCTTCCAGGAGCAGGGCCTGCTGGCTCACGGGGAATCTGTCCGGTCCTGAGGCCCTGCTGCAGGCAAGGAGCAGGGACTGAGGCCTCCTAGCAGATGAGTGACAGGACCATGGTGAGGGGGCGGCAGGGGGCGGGGGGTGCTGCTGTTCATCCCTATTGGGGTGGAGCCACCTAAATGGGAACTGGAGGGTTTACATTTCGATTTTAGTGGGACCCCAGCTGCTACAGCCCCCACAGGAATCACTCACTGATTGAGGCAAGCCATCAAGGAACACCACAATCCGGGTGGAAAAGTCGTTGAGAAACAAGAGTTTATGGTCTTGGAGCATCCCCCAAATTGATTGTTAATTACAAACAGGGACAGGGCGGCCTTACAGTGGCCTGATCTGTTGCCCAGGTTTATCCAAGTGACCAGATGTTCTGCCCCGTGTGCCTTTCCTGACACGGTGCAGTGGGAGGTCACACGAACCTGATGCAGGGAGCACCCTGAGTCTAACTGTGAGAGAGCAATCGGGCAGACCCAGCTGACGAAGGCCCAGACACTTCACAGATGTCAGTGCCAAGAGCCCCGAAGCATCCAGGAAACTACATTCCCTGGGTGAAGGAAACAAGAGGCAGTGAGAGAGGATGCCTCTGGCGAGATGCCAGATGGGGGTGAAGGGAGAGAGGGAGGCAGAGACAGAGACACAGAGAGAAACAGACAGAGAGGCAGTGGATCCTCGGTGCTGATCCACACGGTGAGCGTGTGACCAGGAAGTAGTCAAGGGTGGGGTGTGAGAGTGTTCACCCCTCGGGGTATTTAATCACCTCATGGTGCTGAGTGTGACTCTCGGTTCAAAGACACCGTTGGCTTTTACGACATGTCCCCCAGGTCCACTCTTCCATGTGGCACTTAGCGTTCCAGGAAGCCCGGCTGAGCTGGCCTCACCGAGAACTAGGTGAGGCCCAGTGCTGTGGTCGACTCTCTAGCCGTTTACAGAGGAGCTTGCTGACCCCTGGCCCACCCCATCTAAGTCCCAGTTCTCTCTGCGATCTCAGGTCCTCTGCTGCCCTCCTGTGGACGCCCTCCCCACGCTGACCTCCTTACCGTGCTCCAGGCAGCAGCCCCTACCTACCTACCTCAGGGCCTTCCACCCCTGCCCCGACCCCCCATCCCGGAAGGCTCATAATGCTCACTGCCTTCAGATTTCTCTCCCAAAGGGAGCCTCTGCAACCAGCTTGTTTGAAATAGCGCCCATATTGCTCTGTACCTGCTAATCAGGTCTTCCTGAGAGTGAAACGTGACATTATTTCTCGCCCTCCCCCACACACCTCCAATGTAGGCTCCAGGCTGCGGTCCAGCTCGCTGCTGCATCCCCAGGCTGCTGGGAGGAGGCCCGCCCAGGCTGGTCACTCAGGCTGTGCACGAGCGAGCGTGAGGACGGGTCGCTCTCTCTAGGTCTATCGCCCTATTTCCTCAGACAGGACCACCGGGCCTCACCCCCTAGAAGTCCACCCAGTTCTCTGTGTCCTAAACACCTCCCCGAGGTCCTCTTTGCTTTGGCTTTTCATTTCTCTGCCTTTCCTTTCCCATCTTTGTCTTAAACAGAAAAATGCAAAACCGAAGCACATATTAAGAACAGTGAATTTATGCAATAAAATTCCATGTAAAATGTCCTCTTAGCGGGAAAGACTTTTCTCACTTTTGGCTGCTGTCTCCTGCTTGGCACCACGATTTGGGGCTGGTGGTCGTTTGGAGCAGCAGCTGCGCGGTGAGCCGGCCCAGGATGGACTTTGGCCCCTGTGTTTGCGGATCTGTCCCTGGGCTGTGGTCAGAATGGCGGGCTGCGTCCAGCTGCTCCTGGTCCTCCTGTCTCTCCTGGTCCTCCACCCCGCGGAGCCCTCAGGTCGGTGTCTGCTGCATGTGTCCTCCCGGACAGTGTGGGTTTGGTCGGGGGGCTTTTCCAAGGATAGAGGAGCTCCTGAGTGATCAGCAGGTCTTAACTCAGCTCCCAGGAGAGCCCTCCTGGTGTCTTTATCATTCATGACAAATGTGTTGGAAATAGTGTCCCTTGGGGCCCCCCCCAGAAGAGATGCTCAGGAAGAATCAGGCATGAGAGAGGTTGAGCCTGGCCTGGTGGGGACAGGAAAAGTAGTGGCCAGGCCACAGGCGGATGTCAGGCTGTCACAGCACCAGCTACTCTGACCTCCAGCAAGCAGGCGTTGCAAACCTTGGGGAAGCCCCTCCATGCTGCCTTATCTTCATACATTCTTATCTTGCTCCGTAGTCTTTCTTTCTGCCTCAAAAGCAAACGAAGTTCTGATAAGATGGAAGCGTGCTGGCTCCTACCTTTTGGAAGAGCTCTTGCAGGGAAATTTGGAAAGAGAATGTTATGAGGAGATTTGTGCCTATGAAGAGGCAAGAGAAGTATTTGAAAATGATGCGATCACTGTACGTACCCCCACTGGGAACTCACATGCTTTCTGATCATTCCAGCTTCTGCTGCCTTTGAGGGCATGACGTGTCACAGAGACAAAGCTACGTTTACGCTTGTGTCCTTACTTGTGAGGCTGACTTAACCCTGATTTTACAGATGAGGAAACACAGAGCAGTAAAATGATTTTCTGCGTCTAGTTAAGTAGGGGACTTGGATATTATCTCAGTTCTGCGCCCTTAAACTCCTTCTTCTGATTAAGCAAATTAGCACATTAATTAAATTTACTCATCGCAAGCATCACTCAGCTTGTCATGACTCTGACAGAATTTGATATTTTTAATAGAGACTTAATTGTTTCCATATATCAACAAATTTTTAAGAAGCAAAAATCCTCTCTAGAGTGCTGCATAGTAAGAAAATCTCTCATCATCTATAATTTGAATAAAAAGTGACTACATGTGTACTGCAGATAACACAGGCAAACCATTCATACTTAGAAGCTTATCAGAAGATAGAGAAGTTAGTCAAACCTGACAAGCTGAATATTTGTAAGTATTTCAGGAAAGTAAAATACTTAGTAAAGATTTCCTAGTTTTACATATAGAAGTAGCAATATTTAAAGTTATTCTGAATAAAGTATCAACATGTTTCTCTAGTATATTTTAAAAATATTTTTATTTTTATGTTTTATCCTCACCCAAGGGCATTTTGCCATTGCTCTGAAAGAGAGAGGAAAGGAGAGCAGGGAGCAGGACTGGGCGACAGACAGACAGGCAGACAGGGAAACACGGACTGGTTGCTCCCAACCAGGAACCCGTCCCGGAACCTGTGTGCGTGCGCTGACCGGGAGTCAGACCCGCAGCCTTCCTGTGCACACGACGATGCTCCAACCCACTGAGCCCCACCGGTCAGGGAGTATTTTTTAAATATTCCAAAAATCACTTCTTTACATGCTTATATATGAGAGAACTCTTTGAAATAGATCATCTTTAATAAAACTAGCAGAAACTCAAATTTCTGGTAAGGGAAATTGTGGGAGATTTTTATTTTTTAATTACTGTTGACATTCAACATTATTTTATGTTAGCTTCGGCGTACAGCGTAGCAGTTAGATGTTCACATAATTTACGAAGTGGTCCCCCTGATAACTGCAGCACCCACCTGACCCCACCCGTAGTTATTACAGTGTTATTGACTGTAGTCCCTGCGCTGTGCTTCACACCCTCATGACTACCCTGTGACCACCGATTGGTACTCCTCAGTCCTGTCCCCTTCCTCACCCAGTCCCCCAGCTCCCCACCCACCCGGCAGCCACCAGTCTGTTCTCTATTGGTGAGTCTGTTTCCGTTTTGCTTGTTCCTGTGTTTTGTTCTTTAGATTCCACATATAAGTGAAATCATACAGTCTTTGTGTTTGTCTGTCTGACTTATCACGTGGTATGATTCCCTCTAGGTGCAGCAGGAGAACTGCTTAATGTGCACTTGTGACATCACTCAGGCTGTCACAAGTCCAAGTGTGATTAGGGAGATACAATCACTTGTTTACTTTCTAGGCCTTAATTCTGAGTAATTCTCCTGAGTTTAGACACCCTCCCCCGAGCTTACCTCCCACACACACATACACACTTTTAATTTTTTAATTGCTGCTTAATTGGCTTATAAAAAAGTGCACCCTGTGGAGCAAGGACACCAACGAAGACTGCCCGGGCGGCGGGACAGGCGGCCTCGGGAGGCCGTGCCATGGCGTGTGTACCACGTCATAGACTATCACTTCTCCTTCTTTAAATAGGTTACAGTAAATACACACGAAGTAGGATGTTTCATATATATATATATATATTTATATATATTAAATAGGGTATTTAGTAAAGAATTTTGCACTTTGTTTCAACCAGTATTTTCCTATAAAGTGGATAAAATCAACATTTTCTTATCTTTAAGCCAATCTACGAGAAAATATTAAAAACAATCTGTTTGCAACACTTTTTCTTTTACAGAATGACTTTTGGAAAACGTATAGGGGTAAGTTGTTTTCTTCAACTCTTGCAAGGATGATTTCTTCTTCTTTTTGCTTGAGATGAGGTAAGGCATTCCACATTTCAAACCTTCGGTGCCTGGACAGTCCCTGAGGACAAGCTCGAGGGTGGGAAAGTTCCCAAGGTCCTGCCAGGGTCAGGGAGAAGCTCCCTTGTGGGCTTGGGTGGCAGAGGCCAGGGGTCCCACCTGCTGAGCAGCTCCTCTCGTTCCTGTGGCCTCCCAGGCTCCCTGGGGCCTCTTGCTGACAGATCAGAATGTGGTTAATTTGAGGGTAAGCTGGGAGCCCCTGCGGGGGGAGCTCCCAGAGACTGGGGCTAAGGGGGTGGGTGGGGGGATTCAGTGCAGAGCTGCGGCAGCCAGGGACAGTCACAGTCACGGGAGTTGCTCAGCAACGAAAGAGGGAAGCTAAGGAAAGGAACTGAGACAAGCGTCGTGGGCCCACATGGGCTGGTGGGACCCTGGGGACATGTGGGGTGCACCTGGCAATCCGATCCAGCCTCCTGGTGTCCTGGGTAGCAGGGCCAGGGGGTGTCAGGAGAGCCCAGGTGATGCCACCTACACATGCTTCTCACAACGCTCTTGGCAGGTGGCTCCCCGTGCCTCTCCCAGCCCTGCCTCAACAACGGGTCGTGCCATGACAACATCCACAGCTACACCTGCACTTGCTCCTCAGGCTACGAGGGCAGGGACTGCGCCTTTGGTGAGCCCCCACCTGCCCTGGCCCCCCCAACCACACAGTGATGGGCTCCCAGGAGTGAGCAAAGGGTGCCTGTGGGAACCCAGTTCCAGCCCAGTTCTCCGCTCACTGTAAATCATTCTGTGACTGGCCCTCCTACCTTCCGAACACACCTGCCTACAATTGCCACGGTCTAGAGGCCCCTCCTCGTCCTCCCAAGCCACGCCCACCTACACCATTTATGATCTACCCTAGAGAATTCCTGGAACTGGACCCATCCCAGGCAGGGGAGAGGGGCTCTGAGGGCCAGGTCTGTGAGGGGAGTCACACACAGTCCAGCTCAGAGGCAGGATGGGAACCAATGTTCCTTAAATACAAATAAATTAAATGCAAAATCTACTTGTGGGATGGGGAGAAACCAATTTCCTATCAGTAGTTATCAGACAGAAATAAATTCACTTAATCCTTTCGGTGCTTTTGGTCAATACAGAGTCAATTTTGGGGGGGGGGAATATTTCCAGCCCAGACCTCTCCTTGAAGTCCAGCTTTCACTCTAACTGCCCCCTTGAGAGCCTCACGTAATGTTTTGTGACATCCCAAACCTGACACGTGCTGAAGCAAGGTTTTGACCTTCACCCCACCTGTGTCGCTTCCCCCAACCTAGCTGTTCACCACCCCCGTGGGGCCATACAGAACCCTCCCTCCCGCATCCCCACCTCGACTGCAGCAGGAAGTGGAAGATGACCACAAGTGAGCACATAGTTAGGAAAATGGACAGGTGCCTTGCGATACATATGCATATGCTTCCACGACCAAGTTACCTTTTCTGAGCACAAGTACAAGGTTGTCACTCACTGAACCTTTGATTTCTCCCTGCTCATGCCCAAATGTGGAAGTGTGAGGAATGCTCACACGAGGAACGAAAAGTCTGAAAGGAATGAGAATATTTGGACTGAAAAAAGCCAGAACCCCAAGGCACAAGGAAATGTAAAAGCAACTATTTCCCTGTCAGCACTCCTGGTTTTCCCTCTTTTTTTTTTTTTTTTTATTCAGCTAAAAATGAGTGTCACCCATTGAGGACTAATGGATGTCAGCACTTTTGCCAGCCGGGAGAGAACTCCTACGTGTGCAGCTGTGCAAATGGGTATAAACTGGGCCAAGACCACAAGTCCTGCATCCCACACGGTGAGTCTGCAATCAGTGAGAAATGGGAAAATGTGGTCTCTCTCCTTCCTCCCCAGTCGGCTCCCATCCACACCCGGCTCCTTCTCCTACAATAACGTTTGAAAAGCCACCTCTTCTCCAGGAGAGGAGGAGTCACCATGCCTCGGCCAGCCCTCCTTGCCTCCATGCTGCAGCTTGCCTGGGTCACAGCAGTATCTTAGCAGGGCCGAGAGCAGGTGATTTAATTTCACTCTGTGTCCGCGAGTTAGCTCAACATAATGGGCATTGAGAAATGAGGTTCAAGCCTTGGCTGGTGTGGCTCAGTGGATTGGGCGCCGGCCTGCAAACCAAAAGGTCGCCAGTTCAATTCCCAGTCAGGACAACACGCCTGGGTCGAGGGCCAGGCCCCAGTAGGGAGCGCATGAGAGGCAACTACATATTGATGTTTCTTTCCCTCCCTACCCTTCTCTCTAAAAATAAGTAAACAAAAGTCTTAAAACAAGAAAGAAATCAGGTTCAAGTAGTTAGCACCATTCTAGCAGATAAAACCTGACGTTCAGTTTGGAAGGCACTAACTTTTCTTCTGTCGTCACCATGAATGAAGACAAATGTGCGTGTGGAGCCCTGAACTCTGCGTACATCGTGACAACGCAGAAAAGCAAGTGGGATTGTCAGATTTTCCCGTGGCAGGTAATAAACACTTTATAGACATGTTTTACCTTTTTGTTACAGATTTCATCCTGCTTGTCACTTCCACCTCCTTTGCCCACCAATAGAAACATAATGACGGAGTGAAAGAGGCACTCTGGTTTAGGTGAACTACTTACAAATCTCAACACCCTACTTCAGAGCACTTTCTAATGCTGAAGGCACAACTTCAGCTGTCTTCAGTCGTTGCACCCTGGGCCTTTCTTATGGAGTTCAAAAACTCTTCCCAGTGTCCTTTCTCAGAACATAGGCATCCTGAACTTGCACTTAGGTGGATGAGTTGACATGGGGTCTGGCAAGCAACTGTGGGGAAAGGCAGGCGGCCGGAAATCAGGACCTGGGCTCCACTCCCCGACTGCCTTGCCGGAACTCCAGCTCCACTGTGTGCAGAAATTCTCTCTTCTTTGGCATTCATTTTTGTTATTTTCCAGTTTCCTCCCTCGACTGGTTTGGAAGCTAAACATTCTATTATTTTTCTATGTAATGGTCACTCTTGACATTTAAACATTCACTTTTAACTTAACATATAAAGTTAGTATTTTCACTTTCCCCCAGATTATTTCAAGCACCTCACACTAGGCTCATCTGCTATTTTAACCAGTACTTTATTCTTTCCTTTTTCAGTAACTCCATGGAATCGGTATTATTTTTATTATTATGGCTCCCATTTTCCTTGCCTCTAATGCAGATCATCATCTCCTTCTGCCTGAAATACCTTTAGAACAGCCCTGTCAATCCAAATATAATGTAAGCCACACAAGTAACTGAAATTTCCTAGTTGTACTAATGAAAGTAAAACAGATGACATGGTTTTGGATAATACTTAATTACTCCAATAAGTCTAAATACTACTATTTCAACATGTGATGAATATTAAAAATTGAGATACTTACATCTTTTCTCCACTACTAAATCTTTGACATCTGGAGTATATTTCACACTTGGAGAACACCCTAATTTGGACCAGTCACATCTCAAAAGCTCAGTAACTGCATGTGACTACCATGTTGGACAGCCTAGCTTTGGAAGTGTCCTTAGAGCATCTGTGAGTAATATGCTTCGAGAGTGTTGTATCTCACATTTTTACTTCAGCCTGATGCCTACAAGCCAGTGTAGCCAGCAGGATCCCTTGGCTGCCACGTGGAGACCAGGACAGAAAACTGAACAGAGCTCAGCGACTACTCTAATTATCCAGATGTGAAAGGAGACTGAGTGGAGATGAAATGATAGAAAGGGGCAAAACCAGAATGGTCTAGCTTTCAGCTGGTGAACTTTATCTTCTGTTGCCTTTTCTCCTTAAACTTTCCAAGACCCATTATTCATACTCGAGTTATTATCGTCATCTGCCCATCGGTGCATTAAGGCTAGCCTCAGAATGCTGGGGTCAGGGGGTCGGGGGTGATGCATGACCGTGTGCAATCCAACCTTCATAAACGGCACTGGCGGTCTGGTCCTGCCAATGCTCATCTTCAGTCTCCCAGTGCTGTCAAGGGAGTCTCAGGTGCCACTGTCATCTGTGGGAGCAGTGTTAGCACAGTGCAAGCAAGAGCTACCACCACGAGGTGAGCATTCTCTCCGTACAAATCAAACACATTCAGACACACACTGAATTGGGCAAATTAAATACTATGAGATTTTTACTCTGGCACAATGAATAGTTCTTAAGTTATTTAACTGAGTTAATTGGCCTAGGATATAAAGTTGAAAGTTATCTTTACAACTTGTTTCTTACATTCTAGATAAGAATTGGCACTGTGTCCCACTGCATTTTATTACAAGTCTAGCAGACTAACCTGAACATGCCATCTGCCCTCAAACTTGGTTTCATCCACCTATAAAACAAAGATGATAATGCAAGAGTTGCGGTGAGGATTAGGGAGAAGGTACCTGACTCATGCAGGTGGCCAGTAAATGGCAACTATTGTTAATAAGCACTTAAGATTCCCAGAAATGAGGCTATTAAATTTGAAAGACTTTCACTGTGCTCAGCATTTTTCATTTTTACTAAGCTATAAAAACTATAATTAACATTTCTTGAGCCAGCACCTGTGCTGTAAGGGTACATGTTTTATCCCATTTAATCCTCAAAATAATCTCACATTTTATCTGTTTTATATCCCTGATAATGTGCTTTGCTCTGAAACCTCCCTTGTCTGGTGTTAACACTACTGATTAGTGTTAACATGTAATTCCTGCCCCCCATCCTCTACTTGTAAATTGTATTTATATTTAAAGTACCTTTTGTAGGCAGTATATAGTTGGCTTTGTTTTATCCAACCTGACAAATTCCTTGCCTTTTAATTGGGGTTCTTAGATCATTGTATACTTATTTATGTAGGGATAAATTCGTAATTTTGCTATTGGTTTTTTATTTTTCCCACGCATCTTTTTCCATTTTTCATTTTTCTGCCTTCTATTGGGTTACTTATGTACTTTTTAGAATTCCATTTTAGCTTCTTTGTTGGCTTATTAGCTGGAACCGCTTGGTGCAGTGGCTGCTTCGGGGCGCAGGGCCCATCTTTGCTGTCACGGCCTCGTGCACCATCAGCTGACACGCCCCCTCAATGGCTGTCTTTGGAGCCCACGTCTTAACCACGGACTACGCTGCCCCAACCCTGCCAACTGTCACTGGTTATTTACTGTCTGCTTTGGTCTTTTAGGTGAAACTAACAGATCCCACAGGAGAAGACTTCTGTGGTGGCGTTATAATACAGGAAAAGTTTGTGCTGACAACAGCTAGGTGTTCGCTGCTGCACAGAAACATCAGTGTGAAAACAAGTGAGTATCTTAGCACTCGTTTTTGAAAGATCACATTGGAAATAAACATGCTCCTACATCGAATGAAGATTTTAAAACTAGAATTTTGTTTTTACTGCAACACAACTGAATTTAGCTTCAATACTACTGAGACACTTATAAAATGAGAACACTTATAAAACGTAAGACACCTGGTGACGAGGCTAGGCCGAACACACAGGCAAATGCTACTATTCCGTCTGAGGAAAACTCGGCCAGTAAAATGTAACTTAATTTGCACAGAAATGGAGCAGCTGTGGGAAAGACAGATAATTGACTAAAAGTCAGAAGATCTGGGTTCAGATTCCCCAGTCACTCCAGACCATGGCTGCGATGTGGGGCTCACCACCTCCCTTGTCTGTCCCTAGTTTCTCACCGGTGAAACACAGGCAGTAATTTCTATGCTGTAGGGAGGTCACATAGTTCCCATGATGATCGGAGAAAGTGCTCTAAAATGATTCTGAAGAACCTTAATATATTTTACTCCTCATTTTTGACTATTTTTCAGTCAACAAAATGTCAGCCTGAAAAACTATTTCTAAACAGCCAAGTTTTGGTAAGCTTGAAGAAGTTCCTTATAATTTCTTCCTACTTTTTTGACCATTTCACCAAAATAACTCATTTTGATTTCTTAAAAAGAGGAGTATGAGGAATTAGTTGAAATACTTCATCCTGTGATCTCCCTCTCAATGCACAGGTGGAGGAAGGGGGTCACTGCAAGGAGCCATGCAGTTAGTTGTGCCTGGCCTCTGCCTTGTCACATGACAGAGGAATTAGTCTCTTCTTATGGCAACCTTGAAAGTCAGACTTCATAGCCCTGGCTGGCGTAGTTCAGTGGATTGAGTGTGGGCTGCGAACCAAAGTGTCGCAGGTTTGATTCCCAGTCAGGGTACATGCCTGGGTTGCAGGCCATGACCCCCAGCAACCGCACATTGATGTTTCTCTCTCTCTCTTTCTCCCTTTTTTTCCTCTCTAAAAATAAATAAATAAAATCTTAAAAAAAAATCAGACTTTGGAAACCAGTGATTATCCATTATTTCAGATTTTCATAGGACCAGCAAGGACCCACTGATGATAAAGGTGAAGAGCATCAACGTGCACATGAGGTATGAGGAAGAGACGGGGGACAATGACATTTCGCTTTTGGAGCTGGAGCTGCCCGTCCAGTGCCCAGACATGGGGCTCCCCATCTGTATGCCCGAGAGCGACTTTGCAGAGGGCGACCTCATCCCCAGGACACAGGGCCTCCTCATTGGCTGGACTCTCAATGGCTCTGAGCTGGGCAATGATGTGATGCAGCTGCCAGTCACGCACATGGACAGTGAGGAGTGTGGCAGAGCCCTCAATGTGACAGTCACGACGAGGACATACTGCGAGAGAGGAGCAGAGGCCGGAGGGGTGCAGTGGGCAGAGGGCAGCGTGGTCGCCAGAAAACACAAGGGCACCTGGTTTCTGACAGGGATTCTGTGCTCAGCACCCACAGAAGAGGATGCACAGGAGTTTCTTCTCACCAAGGTTTCAAGATATTCACTCTGGCTTAGACAAAGCATGAAGTAAATCCAGCTAATCAGAAAGAACACAATACATGGTGGGATTGCCCAAGTTAACTGCAAGCATGGAGTTGAAATTTCACAGCAAAACGGTGTGACTGCCTCAGCACAACTGCGTCTACACACCATTGATCACTGCTTACGACTGGGACTTTCAGCTGGTGCCCCACAGGGATTTTTAGAGCATGCAGTACCTGACTGTTTGGTCAGGAGCACTGACTTCTTTCCGCTTAAGATTGTTAAATAAAAAAATGTCATCAGCAACACAACAATAGCCACCTTGTGTGAATGAATCAAAATTGTTTTTTGCCAGATTGGAAAAAAAATGTACTTTGTGGCGTGCTGCAGAATTTTGGTAATTAGTGTGTGTGCCACAAGATGAAACAGGCTGAAAATCAGTGGCTCATGGAATCATTACTGAGTATGGTGGAAAGTTCTTTCCTTGGGGCTTTTTATCTAAACAGACACCTCAGGAAAACGGGAGATACATTAAACAACAGAAACCTGTCAGAAGTAACAGCCCAGTCCCTTAAAACCCTCTCCTTTCCTAAGTCTAATGATTCCTGATACTATCAAGTCAACGAATGTAGCTCAGCCTAACAACAAACATATGCTCAGTGAGTGTATGTCTTTGGGATGAAAGCTTCTAAGAATCGCTAGATATAGACAAAGAATGGCCTCGCAGTTGGCCGGGTTCACCGATTGCTTGTGTGAGTAAAAGCGTTGCTTGGTGCTGGAAGAAGCAACCAGGAGAGTCAGCAAGGGAGAAGAAAATAACATTGAGAGGGAAATGTTATACAGTTTTAGAGAAAGAATCAGGAAGCACGCACGAGAGAGGTTAAAAGAAGACAGGGGCCTTTAAACAGGGCTGTTGCTTGGAGAGGTGCTTTGATGGAGGGAACCTCCACCCCCCACAGGTTCCTGGGACCTGATGGATAAGGGCTGGTGCTCAGCCTCTCAATTCTGCTTCTGAACCAGCTAGCTGACTCTCAGTCACCGTATTTTTTGGACTGTAAGACACACTCCCCCACCCTGCAAATTTGGGAGAAAAATGGGGGCACGTCTTATAGTCTGAATGTAGCTTACCTGGCTCGCTGTGTGTGTGTGGCTGGGGGGCGGGGGGGGGCAGCAGTGAAGCAGGGTCACAGGTTATTAAATATTTTACCACATTTTTGCTTTCCCTATTTTCCTCCTCTAAAACCTAGGTGCGTCTTATAGTCCTAAAATAAAAGTGAGAACAAATAGAAATGATATTCACTTTTAAATTAATCTCTTAACTCTTAAGTTAAGGAAGTAGTAGCAAAACTGCTCAACTACATACATAAAATTTCTAGCCCCCCAGTCTCCTTGAGTGAAATAAAGGAGCTTCTGCAGGCGGACTGCTCTGCAGACCAGCAGATGGGTGGAGAGAGGGCTGCTCTAACTCTAGGCGCACACGCCAGGGTAATGGTGGTCTGCTGGGGCCTTGTTCCACAGAGTTGTTGAAAAGTGGAGGGGACTTTTTTTTTTAAGGAATTAAAAATGTGAGTTAAGTACAAAATCTTTTGAGTGAAGTATAGGGAATTAAACACAATTCAGATGTTTAAGCCTTATAGGTCTTAAACACACTACATATCTCTTTCATTTCTATTATTGTATTTTAACCCCAGAATAAAACTTTTTTTTTCTAATCTGCAGGTGCCCTGGCCCATTTCTCTGAAAAGACTTTGGCAAAAATAAATATGCTGGGTGGGGAGGAGGTTAGGGGCTGGAGGAATTAAGCAAAAAGGAAAAAGGATCCATGGACACTGATAATGATGTGGTGATTACAAGGGGAGCGGGGTATAAGGGGATTAAATGATAATGGAAAAAATACAATAAAAATAAATAAATATGCTAATCAAACACAGACTAATGGTAAGGACAATAGGTGAACAAGAATACATTTTAAAGTCTTAGCAAAATTTAGTTTCCATAAAGATATAATAAAAAATATATCACTTGTATAAATTCGGAAAGCCTTTTTTATAGAACAAATAATATAAAAAGTTACAAAGATGTATTTATGAATAACTCTTATGAGAAGTAAACTGTAGCTGCCTTGGGGACAGAGCCTCCTTCACAGAGGTTTCAGCAACACTCCAGAGCCAAAGGAGGTGTCTGCTACGTCTGAAAAAGGAATTCCAAGTCTCTGTGAGGTTGACGTTAGTTCAGTGATGAGGGAACTTCAAGGCATCTGTGTATGCCGGCAAACACAGACTCAACATCCCTGGGAAAAGAGCCCCAGAGAAATTCCTGCTGTAGAAAATAACATCACGGCCAAGTACTGAGTTCATCAGTATGATAAAAACTAGAGGAACACACTCCTTCTCAGGACTGTTTACATGTTCAACACACCGTAGACAGCGGAGGAAATGGGTTTTGCTTGCTAACCACTAGCTTCTGATGCTGGTGTGATATATAGCCTTTGATGTGACCCTGTAGGAGAAAAACAGAGGGCTGGCTTATGTTTCTGAGTCACATCACTGATGCTGAGTGAGTTAATTACTTAGTCCTGTGGCATAAGCATTCTGACCCAATCATAATGCAATTCAGGTCACTGAGAGGACAATTAATAAATACATATATGGAAAATATATAAATATATATTATATCCACCCACCCATATCCCCTATAAAACTCTTTGAATATCATGGTATTTCCTGGGATAAAATTAGTTCTATCAGAAAATACCTTCACAAAAGCAAAGGGCCTGATAACAATTTTAACAACACTACATCAAAGCTTCACATTCTAGGGAATGTGAAGGGACATTCTAGGGACTTGTCCTAACCTGAACCAAGGGGCTCACGCACCATGTATATCAGGTTGGCCAAAATACACTGGACTTCGTCGATGTCCACGTCTTCCACTTGCATGAATTTCAAGGCAACTAGAAAAGCATCCAGAGACAACTGGTGTGTTTTGAGTAGCAAGTACCTGCAAGAGGCAAACAAAGGCCAACACTAGTTACCGAATGGATGCAAATACTTCAAAGGCTGAGAGAAGGTGCACTGACTGAGCCAGCAGAAAACACACCTTCTAACAAACTACTGTTCAAACGGGATGAGAGAAGTTTCCATCTATTCAACACACTCTGAAACAAGAGCTATTAAATATAGTTTTGACTTCTCAATTTTAAAAAGCCACTAATACAAATATAATCTTTTACATATACTGAATATTTCATTGACTCTAAGAAGCAGGTATTTTCACATTTTAATATCTCTGAAATCTACCCACAGCTATAAAAAGTCTGCCTTTGTTTGAAGTTAAACTAACTGAGACCCTGTTGAGACTGGACTTTGGGGAAGAGTCAACTTCCAGTGTCACGTGGGAGAAAAACACAACTGCAGAAGAACTCGACTTTCTGACAGATGGGAGCGGCAGGGGAGGCTTGGTTGGTTATGAATAAAGGAAATGAACAATCAGTCCCACACGTCCTGATGAAATGTGAAATATTTTATTCCTAGGCCTGGTGTTTTAAAATATTTATTACAGAGTTCTCTTATCACTCACCACCTGAGTCCTCCCACAAATGGGCCTCTGCTCAGCGCTCTCGGCACCGAGGCCTGTGAGGCGGCGCGCGGGCCAGGGAAGTCTGGTTTTATTCCACACAATTAAAGGAAGAGGGACGGGACCCCGTCCACACAGACCGACACCCCGCCCCAGAAGACACAGCACCTGCTCTTGTAACTCCACTGCATGCGTCATACGGAGAGTTTAAACTTATTAAAAGAAATATTTTGCTTACACTTTTTTAAAAAGATTCCTGTAGGTAATGATCTTTAGCTTCTCAAGGATGAGGAAGATGCCACAGCGAATGAAGAAGGTCTCGTGCTTCGTCAGGGCCTCGTTCAGGAGGAGGAGGTTGCCTTCGCTGGTGGTGGGGAGAGAAGCGCCAGCACGGTCACAGAACAGAATCTCAGGGCGAGATTGCATCAAAAGCACTTAGTGCTCCTACAACACGTGTGAAATTTTCAGTAACTTTACATTTTAAAAGATCCCAAATGGAAAAGGACAAATACTCTACCTTACAGCTTTGGTTACTTCGGCAAACTGCATGAGATGATACTTTTTCAAAAGCTCAATGGTTGGCATATGACCCTAAGACAAACAGGTAGTTTTCTAGAGTAAGAGCACTTTCATTTTTAACAGAATTGTTTTTTATAACATTCTTATCAAGGAATTAAGTTTTAAAAACTTGCAACCCCGTGCTTCTTAGAATTTCTTCATAAGTAGCTGAACAAGGATTAAAAACACCCTAGTATGCTAGGAAAAAAAAAATAAAAGCTTGTCTAGAAATCAGAAAACCTTATTTCTGATAGAATACAGTTTTGTCGTTTAATTACAAATGACCTTGACCTTCTCATGTTTCTTATCCTTTATATCACAGGAGGAGAGTGATAACTGAAGAAATCCTAGTATTTCTTCCTAAGATTCAGAAATACAGAAACAACCTCTAGAAGACTCAGCTAAAGAAAATCACACTGGCTGTTTCTGGGTAGCAGAGTCAGGGCAGGGAAGGGCATGTGTGCCACTGTTGCCTTTCCGTTACGAGCTGTCCTGAACCGCAAGTTTTAACCTAACGTCTTATCACTTTGATGTTTTTTTTTTAAAAAAAGTTTTAAATGGAAGGAAAGAAAGCTCTATTCATCACTTTGAGGATGTTTTAGTCAATTAACAATATTAGTTATCTGTCACGGCTTTTTAAGTATCAAAAATAACTTTTGGTGACCAACTAAGACGACTACACAAAGGCTGGAATGACATTTTTCTCGGCTAATCCATCTCTATTAATGTAGACTTTGAGGGGGAACAGAAATAATATGAACTTATTTTCTTTGTCCTACATTATGATAAATTGTTGAAGATACTTTAAAGAGAAACAAAGCCTTTCTAGAAGGATCTGAAAGTGTCAATCATAAAGACACACGGTTCTGGCTACACCTAAAGCTCTTCTTCCTCTATTGTGGGGTGTGCTCAAATGCAGCTGGGGCTGTATTCAACTATACGCCTTCTGTCGTATTTTAAAAAGTCTATAAACTTCTTCAAAGCAACAGGATCTGTAAGAGTTAAATAACAATTACTCACCAATAGCATTTTCACTGGCAGTAAATATATCAGAATCATCCTTTTGTTCTTCTGACTTAAACGGTGGCAGTGCTCAAAAGCAAAGGACAGGTACTCCTCCGCTGCAGAGACACCCGCACACGTCAGACCCACAGCATCGCACGGGGCTTTGCACGCACACAGCGCAAAGTCACTGAAGCTGCCTCCCCGCTCCTTGTTCTACCACCTTCCCTTACACAAAAGCTCCAAAATTTTCAGAACGATAATTCAGAATCTACCATTCAGAATCTACCATTAATACTAATGAATTATTCCTTGCTGTGTTAGGTATTCAAAAATACTATTTGATGAACCTTAAGAGGAGAAACATATCAATGCCTTAACAGAAATCAATAGAATAAAATTTAAAAGCTTCTATTCTTACACTTCATATTTTAAGGGGGGGAAAAAAACAGTGATGAGGAAAAGCAAGCCCATCTTCAAAAGTCCTAGACTTATGAAAATTTTTTGTGAAAGAAAATTTGAAGTTGGTCTGTATGTGCTTATAGAATAAAAAAACTAGAGTAATGACTATGAAACTGCTGTTATTTTTGCTCTCAGAGAATCCATGGCTATAAGACATGAAGAGAAAAGTAATTCGATGTTTCTCTCCCTCTCTATCTCCCTCCCTTCTCTTTTCTCTAAAAAAAATAAATAGGATCTTTAAAAAGCCTGGTCTGAGTACAATAAAAGAGGTCATAAAGTACCGCCTTATGCCAGCTAATCAAAAGTTTAAAAAGAAAAATACTGGCATCACGTCCTTCAGAAAGTTAATGATACAAACTACATAATGATGTAATTTCATGAAAGTGCCACTGTGCTGTGGTAAAGACACTGTCACCCATGGACACAAACATCAAAAATGACACCAGTGCAAGGACACATTCCTGCCTCTCGCCTGGGGACTCCACGTCGTGTTTCTACGCGGCAGGGTGGCAGCCAAGTGAAGCACTGCCCCCATGTCCACATCCTGTGCCAACACGATCAGCACAGGCAAAGGGAGAAGACGCTTACTTATATTAAATGCCAAGAACACTGCTGCTTAATTATCCCACAAAAAAAGATGTCCAGAATAACTGAGATTCTCCATGTATTTCAGAGACCCAATATAAACAAAGAAACTTCAGTACAACTTTCCTTTTATTTAATCAACTTTAGTGTCAAAAATAAACAATAAAAATATAACTTGAATTTGGTTCACACCTATGTTCTACCTTAAGCAATAATAAAATGCAATCACTGTGTTCTCTGAAACTACACCACAGAGCTGTTCAGCAGGCAATGTCTTTAGAATACAGCGAAAGAAGGTTAACAACATACCTTGCTTAAAGTCACTATCGAACATGGCCTTGCGCCCAACATAGTACCTGTACGTCACCCTCTGTGCTGTGCTGTAATCGTCTTTCAGGTTCGAGCTGTCAATGGCTCTGATGAGAGGTTTACACAAATGGAGTTTGTTGATCTATGACAAATGACACTGTACTTAAAATACTATTTTAAAAAAACAGTCAGGAAAAACTTAAACTTCCACTTTACTGAGCACATTGCCCTTCCACTGCAAATTACGAAGCCCACCATATCATCACTACTGACTACTGAATACTAAAACCGAGAGCACCGTCTCGATGGCACAGACCACACCCACTTTAGAAAAGGCCCTAAGAAGCGCTTCAGACGGAGATGCTTCCAGGGCAGATGTTCCCCACAGATGGAAGGCCCACGCAGAGGGGCCAGGTCCCAGCCGCTGCTTTGTGACACAGCTGCTCTTCACCTGGCCAACCTCGTGTAGCAAAGAATGACTGCTCCACCCATCCACCTGCCCACCTGTTCCGTAGTTAATTATTACCATAGCAGACAAAGGCTCTGGAGTGAAACCCCTCTCTTAAAGCAGCCCAGGTCAGCACACTGGGCACACTGCTTAACACGCAGGCACCTCAGTTTCCCCTGGAGCTCACAGCATCTTCCTCACAGGGCTGAGGTTTAAAGAACACGACACTATTTCCAATAGCGTCTTGCACTTAGCAGGCACTTGACACATGTTCGCTCTTAGGGTTATAAATATGGCTGAGTGATGACCATTTCTCAAGCAATGCCAGGAGGCTAGCTGATAATGAGTAGAAACGGTAACTGGGAAGACAGGGAAAAAAAATTTATAAAGCCATATCACAGAGTATTCAAGCAGAGGCATACCTTAAAGTAGATCTTGAATAACTGATTCACCAGAAACAGCATCCCCCACTTCTTAGAATCCTCTATACCAGCACGACTGTGGGAACATAATTTTTATAAAGTTACACAGAAGAATTTATAAATCACAAAATAAACTGCCTAAACAAATTAATATCTTGAGATAACAATCTCAGAGCTTAAGTCATATTCATGAAAAAAAAAAAAAAACATTATGGAAGAAGATGTTTTATCTAACGGGTGAAGTCAAAGAGTCCAAGCCAGGAGTCCTCATCCCAGTTAAATATTTGGGCAACACACTCCCTCTGCTGCAGCAGCTGAAACTGCTTCGTTTGCAGCAATATTATGCAACAGCTAATTGTTGTAAAGCATTTTTGAAAAATGAAAAAGAATTTTCTCTTATCATTACAACAAAATGAACTAGTAAAACACACAAGGATGCGGATGAATCTCAGAAAGAGCAGGACATGGAGCACATACGGAGAGGGTCCGTTTGTATGAAGTTACCAGACAGGCAGAACTGACCTATGGTGGCAAACACTCAGAACTGCGGGGAGGGACTGCCTGAGGAGAGGGCAGGAGGGAACTTTCTCGGGCAGTAATAACGTCCTATCTCACACCTGGGGTTTGGGTTATACAGGTATAGGCACTTGTCAAAACTCAGTAAATACACATTTGAGGCTTGTGTGGTTCGCTGGATGTAAATTCTGTCTCAAAATACAAAAGAGAAACAAGTACTTAGGAGAAAGTTTACTGACACGTTGTTTAGGGAAAATTGCACTGATATATGCAATTAACACTGAATGCATCAGAAAAAAGATAAACTGTTAGATGGATAGAAGGAAAGACACATGAACAGATGATAAAGCAGGTACAGTAAAATATTGATACAAGTGCTGGGTATATGGGCATTCACCATAAAATTCTTCCAACTGTGTTGAACATTTGAAAATTTTCATGATGAAACACTGACAAACAATTCAGCATTCAGTCAGCCACCGTATCTGCACCATGCAATGGCTCTTCCCTGGCAGAGCCTGCAGACTCTCCCAGACAGGGTGCTAGAGAGAGGGGGCGATGGCAGGTTGCCTGGAAACACTAAAGCCTACAGCATGAAGTCGAAGCATGTAAAATAAAAATGCCCAAACTATGGAAACAAGCAAGGCTGTTCACAAGCCAGGGTAAAAGAAATTGCTCCTTAAGACAAGGTGTGCCCACATAAAAGTACTTAAAGTAACGTAAAAATATTATTCAGTATTAAAATACCAAAGTCTGTTTTGTGATAACAGCCAGCTCCTTAATATGATTTCTGTCATTAACCAGTGGTATGATCTCACACAAGATACCTTGTCTCTCTAGGTTTCATTTTCCTCATCTGGAAAATGGAAACAAATGACAGTGCTGTTTTAACTACCTGAAATGCTATGATTAAAAAAAAAAAATCACAAAATCCAAGTACTTTGTAACTTACATAAAATACTCTTATGGTACTGTCCTCCCCAATCTGGCATGAGGGATATGACCTCTTCTGGAGACATGGGACAAAGCAAACCCCAATGGGAAGGTTTGTCACTTGAGATTTGCTTTTGTCTCTTGGGTCTGTACCTAGGAGTGGAAGTGCTGGGACATACGATCACTCCAGGTTTTAGTATCTGAGGAATTGTCAGGCTGATTTGCAAAGTGACTGCACCATTTTACATTCCTGTTAGCTATGTACAAGGGTTCTAATTGTTTCACATCTTTGCCCATACTGGCATTGTCTGTCTTTTTTTGATTTTAGCCATCCTACAGAAGTGGCATCTCACTCTGATTCTGATTTGTATTCCATTGGTGGCTAATGACATTGAGCACCATTCTGTGGACTCAATGGCCATTTGTGTATCTTTGTAGAAATATTGATTCAGACCCTTTGTCCATTTTTAGCTGGATTATTTGTCTTTTTATTGTTGAGTTGTAACAGTCTTTATGTATTCTGGATACTGAGCCTTTACCAGTTAAATTACTTGCAAATATTTTTTCCCATTCTATGGTTGTTTTTAATTTTTTGATAGTGTCCTCTAAAGCACAAAGGTTTTTAATTTTGATGAAGTCCAATTTATCTATTTTTCTTTCAGTTGTTTGTGCTTCTGGTTTCACAGCTAAGAAAACCACTGTCAAATCCAAGGTCATGAAGATGACTGTTGTGCAGGAATATACAACCAAACAAACTCCAAGTATCCAGGTAATACATGTTTTTACTGAACACTATTGTGGTGTGAGAGACACTATGTAAAAGCAGCACACATGCCCTCATGGACTTTGCAATCCAACAAGCATCATCCAGGTAATTACTTCTGATACGTGCAGTGAGCACGAAGTATGGTCTGCTATGAGACTTTATGAAGGGAGGATGTCATCGACTCTGAGCTTCAGTGGTGGGAAGTGCTAGAGGCTGAAAGCTGTGAAATGGGCAGAGACAACCAGATGGAAAGCTGGGGAAACGGGCACGCCAGGCAAAGGAAACGGCGCGTGTAGAAAGCCTCTGTGGGAACTATCCTGAGGCCCTGCTGTTACGTCCGGCCTGGGTGGAGTGTTTGAGGAGGGGCTGGGGGGGAGGGGCCAGAGCAGTGAGACATGAGAAGCTGGAACACTTTTCTAGGAACGAGAGATCTTGCTTGTTTATTTACACATGGAAAGCTTTACTTTTTCTTTCTTCGCTTTATAATATCCTAAAACTCTCAATCCAATAGACATGATTTTATAATGGGTGAAGAGCTGGAGTTTCAGGAGTAAAATGGAAACGCTAAAGTTGAATCAGATGGAAAGTCTAGAATCAAAAAATAAACAGTGACCAATAAGAACAGTCAGCTTGAGACAAGGTCAACATACATTACCCCAAGTGAAATAGAGGCAGGGAAAAAGATGGAAAAATAAATAAACAGAGCATCAGTGCCCTGTGGAATAATATCATGTAGTCTAACATGTATGTAATTGGAGTCCCAGAAGAGAAGGGAAATAACGGAGCCCAAAATAGTTGAAGAATATAAAAAATTTAAATTTAAAAAAATCTGATAAGAAACATCAACTACAGATCCAAGAAGCCCAGTGAACAATAAACAGGAGAGATAGAGAAACACATGGGTGCATGGGGGTCAAGTTCCTGAAAGATAAAAGTGAAAAGAAAGAACAGGCAGAGGAAAGAGAATCATTATCGTATTTTTCAGACTACAAGACACACCTAGGTTTTAGAGTAGGAAAAAAAATAGGAGGCTCCTGCCCCCTGCGACCCTGCTCCACCACTGCCCCCAAACCCCAATAACGAGCCAGATAAGCTACATTAGGATTATAAGATGCACCCCCATTTTCCTCACAAATTGGGGGGTGGGGTGGGTGGGTGCGTCTTATAGTCCAAAAAATACGGTACATACCAAGAGACAACAATAAGAATGACAACTGACTTTTCATCAAAAACATAGGAAAGCTGATGGAATGACATTTAAAGTGCTAAAAGAAAAAAAAAGTCCAATCCTGAATTCACCTAGCAAAAAGATCCTTCAAAATTGAAGACAAAATAGTTCCAGAAAAACGAAAGTTTAGAATAATCATTGTCAACAGACCTACACTAAAAGCAAAATGCAAAACCAAGTTCTCAGAGTAAAGGGAAATGCTACCAAGTAGAAACTCAGATCTACAGGAAGGACTGAAGAGCTCAAATGGTAAATATGTAAGTAAGCACAAAAGACTATTTTTCTGTTTTCTTATTTCCTTACAAAACAATAGGCTGTTTAAAGCAAAAACCAAAATGACCGTGTGATTACAACACATGCATTAGTAAAACAAATGTCAACAACAGACAAAGGTCAGGGAAGGGACAACGTGTGATGAGAGCAGACTGGGAATAGCTCAGTCTCCAGAACCTTACTCACGTGTCGCTGGCACAGACGCGGAAACAGCTCATCAACAGTTCAGCTGCTTTTTCTAGCATGTCCCCAACTTTGCCTTTTCCTTTCTTAACCAACTGCTGATCTGCCTAATAGAATATAAAAACACTTACTTTCTTTTTCTGCTAGATTCTTTAATTAAAAAAGAAAACCACAGTGAAGCTAGAAGAAAATAAAATGGCTACAGCTACTAGTTGAAGTCCCAAAAGGTTCTCGTGAAATCATCTATTCTATACTATGATATGTTTAAAAATTGAGAAATTACACCTTAGTTCAACTCTTCCACACATCAAATCTCTCTTCCACCAATTCAAGCTAGTAAGTCAATCACCAATGTTTTAAGCCTACATTGGGGGTAACCCTGGTTTTGTTTCCTCAGTCACTGACCTTCCCTTCTCCACACACAGCTCGTCCTTGAAACACACTTTCCATTGATATCAAAGTCATCACCAGGTCTGAGTCTTCCCTTGTTTTTAGGATAGTCTTCAGTAAAGGGGAACCAGTTTTCTCCCATTCACATTCTCCCTTTCTGAGGTTCTTAGGGTACAGTCTAGGAATTCCTGAGAGGCTTCGAGACACCTGCACGTGGCCCACGGAGTGGAAACTATTTTCATGATAACACTAAGCCATTATTTCTTTCTATCATATCGACATTTGCACCGTTGGCACTGATGGTGCAAACACAATAGTCAGTGAAACCACTAGAGCCTTCCCAGGGGCACCACACTGAAGCAGTCATCGTTTCCTTCACATAATGCATTTACAGTCCGTCGATTAATCACCTAATAAAGCTGATTTCATTTTAAAATGCCCTTAATGATGCCACAAACATTAATTCCCTTGTCCTAGTCCTCAAATGCAGAAATGTTTAAACTGCTTGTGATGAGACAGAAAGCACACACGCAGCACGTGTGCCCCACACTGAAGGAGACGGCTGTGTTGCGGAGGTGGACTAGGACACTCGGGGCTGCCAGCTGCACCCCGGAGCAGACGAGGGCAGCCAGGCAAGGCAACGCAGGCGTGCCTGAAAGCAAATGAACGCAGCCTGTCACTTCCAGGCAAACAACTGACAGTGTTTGTTACCAATGACAATATTAGCATTTTCAAGAAAAAACAAAAATTTTGGAAAAACTTGTATGGACCACCATGAACTTGGCAGATTTCTATGACATCAGCACTCTTCTGACGAGGTCACTGTAGGTATTAACAAATGTCGAATTTTTCTGTTTTTTTTGTTTTGTTTTGTTTTGTTTTTACCTAATGAAATATATCAACATTGGGAACATCTGCACAGCTCAGTGAACTAAAAATTTCCAAATGTTCGATGTATGTTACAAAACCAGGCAAGGGCAAAAACATCCATTCTGGGTGCATGGCTCACCAGTGGATTTTGATGTAACAGTAGAAAAAGTTCACTGCTAAGTTTCAGAGGCCCCGTTACAACTAATTTTTAAAAACTAGTACTTGGAGTTTGGGTATAGCTCAAAGAGTATCTACAATCATCTGAAAAGGCTACTAAAATGCTCCTCCCTTTTCCATTTACATCTGTGTGAGGCCAGACTGTCTTCATATATTCAACCAAAAGAACATATTAAATGCAGAAGCAGACATGAGAATCTGGGTGGCTTCTGTTAAGCCAGGCATGAAAAAGTTTAAATTATAAAAGAATGCCATTGTCAGTACTTTTTGTTCATTCTGAAAATAGTCATTTTTTAATTTAAATGTTAATTATGTTACCATGTAAAAGCTTTACTACTACTTTAAGTTAATAAATATTAAAAATTTTCCCAGTTAAAATTTCTAATACAGTAAATATAAATAAATTTAACACATAAACAAAAGTTTTTTGGACACCTCAGTAATTTCTATTACAACTGTCTATTGCTTTGCTGAGACTACCCACGTCTCCATGTGTTTCAAGTGTGTTCATAATTGCTCCTGTAGGCTTTTTTATGATGGCTGGTATGAAGTCCTCATTAGGGAATTCCAACATCACATCACCTCAGTGCTGGTGTTTGTTGATTGTCTCTCCGCATTCAACATCTCAAAAGGCCAAGACTTTCCTGATTCTTGGTACGTTAAGTGATTTTCGATTGCACACTGGACATTTGGGGCACTATTACCTTACAAGACTGTGGACCTTATCTGTCTTGTCTCAGCAGGCCTCTGCTGAGACCACGCTAGGGGGTAAACGAGGCTCCACCTCTTTGGCACTGGGTGAGATGGGGGTCTGGCTCCCCATGGGCCTTGCTGACAGGGGTTGGAGACCTACAGACTTTGTGTGAAGTGCAGCAGAAATTGTCAAAGAGGTCTGTCTTGACGGGCTGCCTCGCCCCTTCCTGCTCTCCTCCAAACTTCTTCACCTCCGCCTGTTGGTGTTCCTGAGTTTTAGGCTTTGCCGAGACCCAAGCTAGGCCAGACAGTAGGCAAAAAAGAAACGCAGGAAACTCACTACCCTTGCTGTTTTGCAAGTCCCTGTCCTTGCTTCTCTCCACATCTCAGAGCCACGTTGGCTTTAAAATGCCCAGCAGGAGGAAGGAAAAATGTGCCTACTCTACCTTGTTCAGAGTCAGAAGTCATTAATAATTTTTAAAACTGGAAAGGGGGTCTTAGGACCAAAAAGTTGAGAAATGTTGCTCCGAAGCTGTCTTATGTAGACCCCACCAAGGAGAAATCAAGTCCATATAACCCAGGCTCTTACCCCCTCACACCAGAGAAACCCTTAGCTATTGCTTCAATCTACATTAAGTTGCAATTCTTTAAAACAGGGGACAGGGCGTATCTTAAGAGTAGAAGAGAATGCAGAACTGCTCATCTATTATTGTTCCATCCCCTTTTAAAAAAGTACTACATGCCATAAATGATAAACCATATACAGAAACAACTCCCTCTATTATCCACAGTGTGAAAACCAATGTTGACTTAACTCTGTTCACATCAATCCAAACAGAATGATTAGTTTGAGACCTTCCCTGTTCTTTTGCTCTCTACACTAGATATATCCCAACCCCCACTCATGCCTCAAAACATCTGTAAAGAATGACATGAAAATAAGCAATAGATACCAATAGGTTACAAAACAATAGTGATAAAAAATGAACTTACATTATTGGCAAATACTCGAAGGTCAAGTGCTACTGCATACATAACAGGTAGAGCCCTACAGGGGCAAAAAAGCAGGTGTGTTTGAAGAAGCCATGAGGTCAGAGAGTCCATTACCAGTGGTGGGAATGACACCAACACACAGGGCAATCATCCAGAATGGGAGTCAGCGTCCCTCCAAGAATTCAGCATCTACTGTTACCTTCTTCATCTTTCATCAGGATAGCTTGCAGCCCTTGGGCTTCCTGATCGACAAAGAGGCCAGACACTGACGTGCTCCATACACACCACCTGGGACCCTCCTCAGAGGCCCAGATCCTGGTCTGCCTAGGGGTCCTCACTGAGAGGGAGCAGCTCCTTACACTCTTCCCAGCACATCCTCCTTCCCCACAATTACCCAAACAGCTCCATTAAAAAAGATGTGGTTTAGTAAGATTTCCTAACAGCTACCAGAGTATGCAATAGACAAAATGTCATAAAACAATTTTTTAAAAATCTAGCTAGCAGGGTTGGGCTTCCTTTCATGGGTAAGATAAGCCTTCACTTAAAAAAGGTTGGCTTTTTTTTCTGTTTTTTTCCAATGCAAACAAAATTTCGTTCTTTACCTAGTCTGTTAATAGATCATAAATCATAAAATTAAGAATAAGTTTGGTAAACAATTTGAAATAACCCAACTATTAGGCATCACACCGCCCAAATGAACTGAAGCTGGTCTACTCCTTTTGTCTGAGTTTCAAACCGAAAGTAAATTCAAAATTGACAACTGAAGGGAAAAACGGATTTAATAAATATTTTGAGGCACAGAAGGGCTGAAATAAAAACAACACTTCATGTTAATATAAATACACTGCAAATAATCTGGCTGATCTGCCATTTAAGTTTACCAAACTATTAAGTTTACCTGACTATTAAAATTCTATTATCCATGCTGCTATTATTATATCAACACATAATATTAAGTGTCCACATAGAAAACATAATATATTTTTATCCAGAAAAAAAATTGTTAAAGCTTCTGATAAAAAACATTGCTAATTTTTTGAGCTGTTACTGTCCATACGTACCAGTTTTCTTCTTTGTGGGCCTGAAATGCCCGCAGGAATGATGTACTACGTTAAGGAAAGTGTAACATGTGAAATTCAAATGATGTTACAGTGAGAACACAAAATAAGGATTCTAAACTTCAAGGGGGATAGCTCACCATTTAAAAAATTATGTGAAATCACAGTTGTAAGTTCTTGAGGAAAAAAATGTATAAATCTACTTACAAATATCTGAGTATCATATGGTACAAGAATACTAAATATATTTATTGCATACATACTTTCTCCAAAGTAAGAAAAAGACTACTGTTACAAGATTTTTTAAAGTTGGCAATCTCAAACACTTTATTTGGTTTCTCTAAGCCCAGATGGTCACAAGTGATATGTAATAGGCAGTGGAATCTGTAGTGTGAAGTTTAACTGACCAATTATAGAATGCCTACATTCAAAGGAGACCTACTAGAGTTAGTAACCAACTCTCTTCCATGTATACTTAAATAATATGGCTAAAAAAATAAGCAAATAGAGTGCAGAGATACATATAAATACTAAGACACTCACTGACTAGGGCCTTATCTGTCAGATATCACTTAAATGATTTACATCAGAAATAGGCTTGATTAAGGTCTTTACTGACCACAATTAAGTGACGATGTGTGTGGAGTCCACTCTTGTCCATCTACACCTGGGTTTTGGAGTTTGATATTCCACCAAGAAAACTTAACTAGTCCCTGTAACTACACTTAATGCCTGAGAGGCAACAGAATATTCTTTACAACAGAATTAAATAAAACCCTTAATTATAACCATATCCTTACCATATAAAGTTAACTGAATGATAGGTTTAAGATCCATGCTAAATTTAAGTACCCCCCAAAAATAGGGAAATGAGTTTCTCTTCTAACAGGTTTCTTTTTTTAAGATTTTATTTATTTATTTTTAGAGAGGGAAGGGAGGGAGATAGATAAAGAGAAACATCAATGTGCAGTTGCTGGGGGTCATGGCCTGCAACCCAGGCATGTACCCTGACTGGGAATCGAACCTGCGACACTTTGGTTCACAGCCCGAGCTCAATCCACTGAGCTACGCCAGCCAGGGCCCTGACAGGTTTTAATTCCTTCCTAATTACAGGGATAAATAAAATTAGCCCTAGATCTCAACATCTTAAACTCCAAACAATCCACTGTACCTGTTATAAACTGAACAGTTAACACAAGCCACAAAAGATATTGGACGATGACAGTCTGGCACTTGTATGCCTCTATGAAGTCGTGGTTCCCCACCGCATAGGTGCACCTGGAAAAGAAACACCGGAGACTGAGGGCAGGTGCAGCGGCAAGTGCAGTTACAGGGTGAAAACCTACAAGTGAACTAGGTAGCCCGATCATCTTTCACCACAAACATCCTAGTTCTCAACTGATCCTGGAGTGAAAGCTGGACCTCCTGCTTAGCAGGCTACAAAAGTTGAAGAAACACACATATAACTATTTGAAGTGAAATGAGTTGGTAAATTATGAAATCACACATTAAGTTTTGAGACTACCCTTTCAAGTCCCAGAAGGAGAACCTAGTTGCCAGTAGGTTTTATTAGTAATGGGCACTGACAATACACTATGGCACTTAAACAAGTGATGACCCTCTAACTAGATGCCCCACTGGGTAGGTCAGTATTAGTCAGTTCATCAACAAATCTGGAATCCCATGGCATACTGCACAGAGTGAGGAAATTGCAGGGTACCTTACATTACAAAGAACCCAGTAGCACCCCAACTTTTCCAAAGATCTCACATGGCTACCCCAACTTGCCCCCTCCACGCTAGCCTGTTCCGAAACACTGGAAGCATTGCAGGCAGAAAGGCAATTAAACACCACATGCTTCAAGGACATAAAGCTTTGCTTGGATTGATGGTTTAGCGATCAACATAGAAGAAATTAAGTATAAATAAAAAGCAATATTTAATTAGCTTTGCATAGCTGCAGTTTCTTTCCCAAATAAGGCAAAGAGGTTAAAAACCAGCCATGTGAGTATTTCCCTGAAAAACACAAGTCAACAGTGGGCTCTGCACCCTACTAAATGAGAGACCAGTGCACAGTCAGTGTGATGAATATCAAGTGATTTTTTAAAAAGTATCACGCAATAGACATATAACATACATGATCACAATATAACTTTTTTAAAATCCTGAGCATACAGTTAAAGCAAGAAAGGGAAAGGGGGAGAGAAAGAGGGAGAAAAAGGAGAGGGGATGAGAGAGAGAGAGAGAGAGAGAGAGAGAGAGAGAGAGAGAAGAGAGAAACATCAATCAATTGTATTCCATATGAAATTCAAACAGGAATCGAACCCGCAATTTAGCTATGTGCCCTGACAGGGGATCGATCGCACAAACTTTTGGTGTACTGGATGATGTTCCAACCAACTGAGCCACCCAGCCAGGGCACAATATAATTTTAACTTTTGAAAACATACATGATACTTGAAATGAGAAAAAAGTTTACTGCAATTTTAGTTTTTTCAAATTCACAAAATTTCCACAGGCTTTACCAAAGTAAATTACAAACACACTCCTCTACTTTTTCAAAGTAATGATTCACTGCTTCAAGCATTAGATGATGTTAAATACAATCCTAGTCAATTCAGCAATTTCAAGATCTGCTTGTTTTACTTCCTTACCTTAAATGAGCTGCAAACATTTCATCATAAGGGGGTTCCAAAACTTGTTGACACTTGTCTTCCGGAGAGGCCAACTAATACATTAAATAATAAGAACAGAAATGGCAAAAATATAATTAACAGGCACAGAAAGAATACAATGGGTAGAGATTTAAACAAATCTGTTTCAAAAGAATTTACACTTTACAGTTAGCAGTAACATTTTATACCTTAGCACTTCTAAATAAAAGGTCCACTACTTCAACAAATATTTATCAAGCTTGAGCCGTCTAGAGAGCACAGATGAATACAATGCTTTGTCTACCCCAGGCTAGGAAATAGTCTACGCAATTAAATACATATCTAACTATTACATACATTTCTTAATATTTCTTGTCAATCAAGAAACATTTAGAAAGCAGCTACTACGTGCTTAATAAGTAAGGAATATCACACCTCACATAAATGAAGTCTGATGCACTAGAAAAGACGCCACGTTGGGAATAGCTCCTTCTCAGCCTTCTGGTGATAGAACCACCCTCTCTCTGTCCTGGGCCAGGTTAGCTGACGTTTATTTCTAACTCACCCTCTCTTCTCAATGGCCAGATGTTAGATAGCATGAGCATTACAATGGATTACAAGCATACAGAACTTGAAAAAAAGAGGAATCAGTCCACTCTTACACTGATCCAATGTGGGAGGGAAAAAGGAAAACATCAGAAAAATTGTCATTCTACAATCCCTAATGAAATAACTGGCTCGGACAACGGCCACCAGGGAATGGAGCCATCAGATGGAAGGTCAATGGGGAATTTTATAAGAACTCGGCCTTAGATGACAAACGGGCAGATGGACGTGTGTGCCCCTGAAGTGCAACAGGAAGCACAGAGCACCAGCTACGAAGTATCGACCCAGCAAGTTGAGCATGAATCTCATCAAATCTCTGGCACTAATTTCTGTTTATAGCAATGGTGTTCAATGTGTTCTGAACATTAGAACAACCTAGGGAACTTTAAATTTAAAAAAAAAAAAAGCCTGCTTCTACTCCAGAAACTGGTTTACAAGGTCTAAGGTGCAGCCTGTATGCCGCTGAATATAATCCTCAACAGATGAGCTCAAAGACTAAGCTTGTCGTAGGACGTCGGTCATGCTGTGACCCCCTCTCTGTCCTCTCACCTACCTGAAGCCGTGGGTTGGCAACATGGGGGTGCTTGAAAGACACCAACTCTGCACAGGATTCCCCATCTCTGGTGTCTATTGCTTCGTATACCTGAAGCGTTTGAGAAGAGAAAAGCTAAGTAGAAAATAAAACACTATTCTAATGGAACCTCAACAGCACATTGTATAGCACTGCAATTCATTTTCCCTACTTTGAAAACAGAATATTCAAAATATAACAGATCAGTATTCTCTTTGGCCAGCAAACAATAACTACTTTTCAAAATGATACCTCCTGAAGGCAAATAAACAGGTGACTTACTGTTAAAAACCATGAAAAAGCAGAATAAACCAGTTTATTATTTGATTATTAGTGAAGGTGAATTATTCTTGCTTTACTCAGTCATATGAGCAGACATCTGAAAATTCACTTTCACAACTTATGGGAAAATAAAAACCTATTTCCAAAATTCAAAAGGCCTCCACTCAACCTAACTATGGCAATGGCAATGGCTAAATGAATAGTGTCAGAGTCATAAACAGATACCTGCGTGCTGTAAAAAAGAATGAAGTAAATCTCCATGTAATAACATGGGAAAGTGTCTGCAACACACTTACTGTTAAGCAAAAGAAAAAAGAGAAAATAGAGGAAAACTGCATTACTTGACCTGGCAGGAAAAGGAAAAGCACGTATGACGTATAAGCACGGAAGAAACTCAGGGCCCCATGCTGCACCCGCTGACCCCTTAGACAGTGGGGTGAGGGGTGACAAGGCTTTTATTTTGTATACTCCTATACAGGAAGACTGTTACGGCAGACATTTATAATTAGAAAAGGAAATTATATTTTTAAATTACATTCAACAAAAATGACATACAAATAATTGAGGAGAAAGCCAAACATGAAGCTGCATATACTATGTAGTTTATCTACAATAAAATTAAATATATAAATTTTATGCCCACACAAGACTTTGAGTAGAGACGTCATAAAGGGAATATCCAACTGGTGCACACCAAGAAAGTGCTCACGTCCTACCACCAGTGAAATGCACAAGATACCCCTACATGCCCCCAGGAAAGTTACAACTGAAGAGGCTGACCACACTAAGTGCTCCAAGAATATACAGCAACTGAAACCCTCACACATTGCAGGGGGAAGGTGAAGTGGCATCCGCTTTGGGACACTGTTTGGCATGCAAGTTAGGAGAGCATACCCCCACTCCCTGACCCAGCAATCCTATGCCCAGGCACCCACAGCCAGAAAAAAAATGGAGGCATAACCAGGACACCACGGGGATCCAAACCCTCATCTACTGTACCACTCAGAGCATTGACAGGTAACATTTACATCATCTCATCCAATAAAGAATTTGCTACTGGATTATTCAACAAAACTACATAAGCACTTACATTTTGAGCCAACAACTCCACTTCCAAGGATTTACTTTAAAACAAGAAACAAAAGACATTTGTGTCGGGTTACTTGTTGATATATTCTGAGTAATGACAAAATACTAGTCCCATCAACATTTTGGAAGGAAGCTGATAAAGGCTGCCAAAGTTCTCATCATGGGTGTGTGGGTACGTGTGTGCATGTGTGAGGAAAAACAGAGGGATGGTGACAGGCTCTCTTAATGAACTAATCCATCCTTCAGTGGATACTAAGATCATGGGCAACCTGACATCTGCTCTAGTCACTGTTAGTAACTATGTCATGTCCCGGAAGCTTTGGTCTTTTCATTTAAACACCTTCCACTTGACCACGCAGCTGGACTCCAGTTGAGCCCCTTTTAGCAGCAACCCCGTGGGCCTGGTACATGAACTGCAGAGCTCACCAGGTGAAGCTCTCTGGCCCTGGACACTTGAAGGAATAAGTTCCCTTTCTTGGCTGCTGCTGGTCCCCTTGAAAACTCCAGGCTCCAAGCTGGTCCATATGGGAATCATCTACTCTGGGAACTCATAGTTCCTCAAAAATACATTTGCTAGCTGTGTTCCCTAAAAAGACCTAGAAGGAATGATTCCCAGTAGCAAAAGCACACCTAGAATTCAGACTGGTTTTCCAAAGCCATTCTCCACTAAAAGGAATCGGAAGTCCCGGAGAAATAGCTGATCCAGTGCCAGGACAAGGAAAGAACAAGGTGAGCATGGAATAAATATTACTGTGCCAGAGAGCAAAGCAGGTCTTAAAGAAGGACCTGCTTTGGTCCTTCTTTAGACGTACCAGAACACCACGGAAACGAGTATGAAGGTGCTCTCAGAGGTCAATGTTAATAATATTCTCAATATTGGTACTGGATTATAACTTGGCATTACAAATAGTCCATAATGATAATTTTAAAAAGAAGGGCATGAGGAAAGCATTTTTTTAAAGATTTTATTTATTTATTTTTAGAGAGAGAAGGGAGGGAGATAAAAAGAGAGAGAGAGAGAGAGAGAGAAAGAGAGAGAGAAACATCAATGTGCAGTTGCTGGGGGTTATGGCCTGCAACCCAGGCCTGTACCCTGGCTGGGAATCGAACCTGTGACACTTTGGTTCACAGCCCGCGCTCAATCCACTGAGCTACGCCAGCCAGGGAGGAAAGCATTTTTTAAACTGATGCAATACTAATAAATGTAGAAAGTATGATAGAAAAGCATCACTGGGCCAACACTAATTGATAACATGAGTTGGAAAAGAGCCACGAATGAAAACGAAAACCGTTTTGTGAAAGAGTCTTGGGGAACAGGATGCTCTTGGGTTCTCCTAGCCCATCCAACAGATTACAAATTAATAACAAGGGAAAAGGTACCTCGACACTGGAGCGATCTGATGGATGCCAAGCGAATCAGCACCACCAGTGTGTGCCATCTGAGGTGAGGCTGTGGGAAATCCACACTACCAAATTCAACCTAAATCTAATCACCAAGAAGACTCTCAAAGGCAGATTGCGAGGGCTCTACAAGTGAACTGACCAAGACATTAAAAAAAAAAAGTTAAATGTCATAAAAGAGCCTCCCTCCCTCTAAGAAGACTTTTAGATTAAAGGACTAAAGAGCACACAAACCAAAATAAGTATGTGATCTGTCTGGATCCTGGATTTTAAAAAAGTTCTAAAGAACACTTTAGGAGACATGGAAAATTAAACTACAGATTCTATATTAGAAAATGTTGATGCTAATACTGATGTTAAATTTCTTGGATGTAATAAGTAAAGATACTGCAGTTATGCAGCAGAATAGCCCTGATCCTAGGTGAAGGCACGGTGAAGAGCCAAGGGGTCATCAGCTTCCGTTCAAATGGTTCTGGATAGAGAAGTGCACAAGCCCAGAGGGAAGGGTCAAAGCAAACACGGCCGGCCAGGTAAGGGGTACACGTGTCTTCACTGTACTTCTTTCATGTTTTCTGTAAGTTTGAAAATTTTCAGAATAAAAAATTCGAGGAAAAATAAAAATTTTATATGTAAACAGTTTTTAAAAAGTAACTTGCCATTTGAAATAAGAGCTTGCAAAATAGACAAAAGAAATAGAGAACACTAAAAAAATAATACTAGACCTCAAAAGATACTAGAAATGTCAACATTTACCTCTGGGGGAAAGGTGAATCTTTTTCTAAACTGAACAATCTGATCTTTTTCTGAATAGAACAGTTTCAAAAAGTAGACTACATGGGAAAACATAAGATAAATTAATTCAACCTGTCCCCTCCAAACAGAAACTAAATCGAATGAATGCCTGTTGAAACTCCCAGCACTAAAAAATGGGCCTCAATAGATGAGGGGACATCTTAGTAACAGACAACTGTTCTTGGGCCTCTCGAGATGGGTATGCTGGCACCCCAAGGCGTTGATTGCTGGCTCTTTTACCCAGGCTGCTACTCAGGGCTATTTAAGCGGCAGGTCATCTTGAGAAATAAAGTAGTATCTCTCTGCCATACCCAATCCTGGAGAAAAGCAGACTAGCTTTCTGCCTGCTATAACATGGGTGGATTTCCCAATTGCAATGTCTTTCTCTTGATATGTCTGCAGGTACCCTTCTGGGCCTGTCATATCACCTAGTGTCCAGGGGAACCAATGCCAACATGCTGATGCCATGCTGCTTGCTATGCTGAGTAATGAGATCCTTGGTCTCTAACCCAGGAATCACGTGTGTTCTGCCAGCATCCATGAAACTAACAGGAGAACTCATTAGCTTATGAGGAGGGTAAAAATCAAACCCCAGACCCAATAGCTATTAGGAAGTGATCACAGAAAACATGGGAAATGAGATGTACCACTTGTCCAAAGATGTCTGCTGGCTGAGGATGTTGTGACAAGTATCAAATAAGGAATGTCAATGTATCCAAACTGACGAGGTCACTGAGATTCAAGAAACAATATACTTCAGAAAGTAAGTAACAGCCAGATTCTGACAAAAACAGAAAAAGTTGGCTGAATCTTCTACCAGCAAAGGCAGGGAGCTTCGTGTTAACAGCGTGAACTTAACTCCGAAATGAACTCTGGAGCCAAAACTCCTGATTTGAATGTGCCACTTACTTGCCAATGACTTTGGAAAACCAGCTAACCTCCTCGGTAAAATGAGGTTTGCAATACCTCCTACAAAAACAGTGATTAACAACTTACTGTATACAACAGTGCCTAGTTCTTCAATAAGCACTAATTGTTGTTCTAATCATCACCCCAAACTTCATCAAATAAGACAGACAAAGGAGATTCTCAGAGTGCTCCTCTGAGAATGCTGACAAGACTGAGAGGTAGTTTGGTGAAACGGGAATCTGAAACTTAGAGTCAGACAGACCAGCACAAATCCTAACTATACTCCTCACCATAATGAGTAGGTCTGAGCACTGGCAAATCACTCAGCCTTACCATTCAGCCTATGAATGGCTTCACTCCCTTCTATCTAGCTCCATTTACCCAGTCAACAAATTGTATTATGCATCCACATGAGTTGGACACCATTCAAGGTACCCAGAATGGAAAAAAGAAAAAGAAACAGAACTACAAGTAAGCAAGAAAAATGTAAAAGATTAAGAAAAACATAAAATTCTAAAGAGATTCTATATTCATATTGGTGCTTCAATGTCTAAATCCTCGCCCGACTTTCAGTAAACTGATATTGGAAAATGGTAACTCTGCAAAGATAAGGCCACAGCACACTTATCCTTAAGAAAGGGGCTTAGGCCTCAATCACAAGACTGGTAAATAAACACATATTTGTATGTTTTAAATTAAAATAAAAGTATATATCTGTTTTTTCATGGTTCCTGTTTCTCAACCAACTTTCCCAATTAAGCAAGTAACGATCATAATCATCTCGGCCTATATCCAACTAGAAATCTTCACCTGGTGCCAACAGACGCCTGCAATTCAACATGTCCAAAACTAAATTTATTTTTCACTCCAAATCTGACCTGCTTATCTGTTGCCCAAGCTGGACTAGAAACCCGGGAATCATTCTGGACTCCTCGCTATCCCTCAGTCACACATTATCACCAAGCCTTGGTAAATGTTTGCTTTACATATTTAAAAAACCCACTTCTTCTCTCCCTTATCCGTATTACCACGGTTTTAGTTATGCGAATTAGGAAAATTTAGCGGGAAGAATGAAAGCTTTGAATAATAAACACCTACGTTTGAAATATACCACTGCCGTTTACTGGCTTTAAAGACAAAAATCCCTACCAGAGACATTTCCAAAAGGCTATCAAGTATGCTAAGTGCTAACACAGAGCGTGTACTGAATGTCGGCTATGACTAGAAGCTCGCAGCCCGGAATACTTGCTATCTCCATCTCCTACTTGCAACTGTGTCTTCCGAGAAAAACTCGAAGTCAGGCCCTTAGGTCGGGCCTTCATTGGGTAACAAGAGCCGAACCCCCACTCCTTCGCGTGGCTAACGGGTCTTTCAGCATCCGCTAGGACTAGGGGCGCGCCCCCCACTTCATACACACACACGCGTCCCTAAATGGAGGGCAGCGACCATCTGCGCATCCCTGGGTCCCCAAGAAACACAGTATTGCATCTGCCGCAACATCCTTACTTCCCAACTGGCAGCAAGGGCCAGTCAGCGAAAAGACTCAGCAGGACGGGCAGTGTCCAATCTGACCCCAGCCAGACACAAGGCGGCTGCCCACCGCATCCCAAGGTCCGGCAGGCCAAAGCAAAAAGGAGAAGACCCTGTAGACCGCGCGCGACGCAGGGGAACAAGCGTTACCTGCTGCAGGTACTGGTTGATAGTGATGTGCGCCATGACAGCGCCCACCGCAGGGACCGGGCGGAGCAAACTCGAGGGGTCTCGCGTCACTTCCGACCCGCGGTCCGTTTCCGGCCTCGCTCCCCCTGCCCCATTTGCCTCGCACGTTGGTTCCGGACGGAGTGTTCGTGGGAGCGCGAGCCCGGGACCGGCATGGCGACGTGCCCGGGCTGAGCGAGGCTGAGGGTCTCTGTACTGCGATTCCCCCATATCCCCTCGGCTAGGACGCCTGGTCCTCGCCCCCTGGGTGCTCTGGCAAGCCCGGGGTGCGCCAAGCCCCCTGAGCAGACAGGCCTTGTGTTCCGTTGCCCCCTCGACTTTTGCAAGTTCCACACGGACCGCGGCTGACGCGGACTGGCCGCGCTCGCGAGCATAGGGTGGGGGTCCGGACCGCGGCCGGATCGGGGTCGGAGCAGAGCCGGGGCTTGGCGGACACGGTGTGGCGGTTGGCCGGGGCTGGGGCGGCGCTGAAGAGGTCGGGAGTTGCTGAAGGGAGCGGAGGGGAGAGGCCCCACCGCGCGACTCGGGGAGGAGGCGGAGAAGGCGGCCGGACGGGGCGGGGCGCCCACTGCTTCCCGGCCGCAGCCATGGCCGACGAGACCCCCAGGAAGGGCAACTTCTCGGCGCTCGTCGGGCACACCAACGGCCTTACCAAGCCCGCGTCCCTCGCCGCGGCCGCCGTTACCTCCAAGCCAGGGGGCAGCGGCGGCTCCAAGAAACTAGTGATCAAAAATTTCCGAGGTGGGTAACCGGGGCGGCCTAAGTGGGGGGGGGGGGGGACCTTGTAGGCCGGAGGAGGGGCAGGGGGTGGGGGAAGCCACAGAGAGTAGTCTTGGGGGCTGCGGAAGCAGTCGGGGGATGGCCCGGGATGGCCCGGGATGGAGTGGGCTTACAGGTCCCACGGGGCTGGAGGCGTTGGGCCGAGTGGCCGTAAGGCGCCAGTAGCGGCGACGTGGTTGGGAGGGGGGTGGGGAGTGTTGTCTGCTTGAACCCCGGCTGTTCAGAAGTTGGCCTCCCGTATTGGCGATCATCGGGCCCATCCCCGGGGCTCTTGGAGTGTGGTGGGGGTCCCCGGATTCCCCAGGTCCCCTGGGTTAGGGTGCTGGCCTTTCGCATGGCCGACTTAAGCTGCGGTGAGGGCTGTGGGATGAATTTACTGATAGCAGCTTTTCAATTGGAATAAATTAGGCTAAATGATTCGGTTATCTTACTTCGCACAAGCGAGGAAGAATAAGTGGCAGCTTCTGAAGTTCTTCGTGATGTAATGTTTATTACTTCCTTCACTTTTCACCAGTGCTGTCACTGTTACTATCGCAAAGTAAGCACCTTTATGCAAATATAGACATGGTAAGCTTATTCTTCACCTTCCTGCATTGAATAATTTAACTAAATTTTAAATGTTGTGTAGTTTTTTACATATTACACGTTTATACATTTATAAAGTCAACTGAAGTAAAAGGAAGATTTGTATACAGGAGTGGGCAAAAGTAGGTTTAAAGTTGTGGGTATGTGAAACAGTTTTTCTTGTATTACTATTTATTAATTATTGTATTATTTGTATCACAATTGTAAGCCTACTTTTGCCCACCTTGCATTTTCTGTGTATTTATTTTAAGTATTAATACGAAATGTATTTAACAAATACATTATGGTTGCATAGCCTGTAATGTAACAAATTTACAAATGCAGTACGTTGTATGGGAATAATCTAATTTCGGTGTTCCTTATCTATGTGTCTATTAAAGGACTTTTTTTTAGGCCTTTGTGTGAAAGATGTATGATTGTTAGCATGGCTTTCGTTCAGCACTGACTCTCTCTGGATTTACAGACAGACCTAAATTGCCTGATAACTACACTCAGGACACCTGGCAGAAGCTTCATGAGGCAGTGAAAGCCATACAAAGTAGTACCTCCATCAGATACAACCTGGAAGAGCTCTACCAGGTAAGACACTGTGTGTGACAAAAAGTAGAGCTTGCTAGAGACCTCATGGAGATACAAATGCAGAATTTTCGTAGACCAGGAGGACTGTAAGGCATGATTAGGCCAGCCTCCTGTCTTTCACTTACCTGGTTGTTTTTTAGTTGTTTAAAAAACACAGTTATCCAACTTCAGTGAAATATTTTACAGACATGGATTGTGTTGTCCCTGGTTATTGTTTCAGGGTCAATAATGAAGGAAATAATAGAAATTCAGTATCTGTGTCTAACAAGAACAGTAGGAGCTCTTGTTGTGGGATTTTAATTTTATTTTCAGATTTTACCTCCTAGAAAGATATTTAAAGTTATCTGATTACAACAGAAATGTGTTTCTAAGGACCACACGACTTAACATTTTCCAAATAATGTGGTGAATTAATGTTATAGTCCCATTATATAGAAAACGCTTACTACTTTTGTTAATGGTTTTTTTACTGCTTCATTGTGTTTTGTGATTGCAATTACAAACAAGCAAAGAAATTTTGTTACATTATTTATTTAATAGAGAGAGGGAAAGGGAAGAGAAAGGGAAACATCAATGTGTGGTTGCACAATTCTTCTGCACCCCCTACTGGAGACCTGGCCCACAACCCAGGCATGTGCCCTGACTGGGAATTGAACTGGCGACCCTTAGGTTGGCAGGCTGGCACTCAATCCACTGAACCACACCAGCCAAGGCGAAATTTTGTTACATTTAATTTAAAGTAATGATGTTCCATTTCTAACATAAGAAAAAATGGTCAGAAGTACATTTTATTATTTGGATAATCTGTTTACAAACGGGTTGGTTTTTCTACTATCTTGATTTTAAAGAATAACATTTGTTAACTAGTCTAATATTACCCACATTGTAGGTAGTTATATGATATCACAATTCCTGTTAAAAGATAAGAATTTTTAAAAATTTTTTACATAAGTGATTACATTATAAAATTGTGGAAATCACAAAAAAGAAAAGTAAAACTACCTACGTTCCCACCCCCCAAAGAAGAGTACTCTTGACAGTTTGCTGGACATGTCCCTTCTTTGTCTTAAGTTTGTGTGAGTTTATTATATGTTTTAGTCAACTTTATTAAGGTACAGTTTTATATATTATACTTCAATTAAGTTTTAACAAATGTATACAGTTGTTTAAGTACCACCACAATCATGCTATAGACTATTTTCATCACTCCCCGAAGGTATCCGGAGACGCCTTTTCATTCAGTCTTCTTCCCTGACTCCCAGTCCTTGGTGATCACCAATTTGCTTTCTGTAGTATATTTTCCTTATTTCTAGGATCTCATCCAAATGGAAACATGAATTTTGCAATTTTTATACCTGACTTCTTTCACTTAAGTACAGAGCTTGTGAGATTCATGCACACTGTGTGGCAGTAGTTTGTTTCTTTGATGCTGTGCAGTATTGGTACCACAATTGATTACCCTCTTACCAGCTAATGGTTATTTGGGTTTCCAGTTTTTGGTTGTTATGAATAAAGCTGCTGTGAACATTAACAAAGAAGTTGTTGTGTGGACATATATTCTCATTCCTTTTGGGTAAATATCTAGAAGTAGGTTCTCAGAGTTATATAGAAAGTGTATTTTTAACTTTACATGACATTTCCCGTTCTCCAAAGTGGCTACACCATTTTGCACGTCTATCAGCAGCGTATGGGAGTTCAGCTTGGTCCACTTTCTTGCCAACATTGTCCGTTTTTTCAATTTTAGCTATTCTAGTGGGTATGTAGTGGAATTTCATTGTGGTTTAATTTTATATTTCCCTAATGATACTAAACATATTTTTAGGTGCCCATTCCTGTTACATACACCTTCTTTAATGAAGTGTGGATTCAAATCTTTTGCTCACATTTTTACAGGGTTTATTTTGTATGAGTTTATTATGTATTCTGGGTACACATCCTATAGCAGATACTTGCCTTGCAAATAGTATTTTCTCCCAGTCTGCATCTTGTCTTTTTTTTTTTTTGTAGAATTCTGTAATACATCATGTGTACATTGTACTGTGTGTTTACCACTCAAAGTCAAATCTTCTGTCCCTTTTTACCCTTTACTGTCTCTCCCACAGCTTCTTTTGAATCAGACTATAAGACACACTTTTTTTACCACATTTTTTGCTTCAAAAATTTTCCATTATTCCCCCCCCTCGAAAACCTAGGTGTTTCTGGGATCCGCACCATAAGATGGACCTAGGTTTTAGAGGAGGAAAATGGGGGGGGGGGAACGGGAATTTGAAGCAAAAAAATGTGTTTTAAAAAAAGTGTCTTATAGTCTAAAAAATGCGGTATGTCTTTCAGAGAGCAAAAGTTTTAAATTTTTATGAAGTCTATGTATGGTTTTGTTTTTTGGGGGGGTTGTGCTTTTAATATCTGATGAATTCTTTGCCTAATCTCAGATCATAAAGATTTACTCTTGTATTTCCCTCTAGACATTTTAGGGTTTTAGGTTTTACATTTAGGTCTGTACTCTCTTTTGGTAAATTTTGTATATGTTGTGAGGTATAATTCTCAGTTCAGTGTCTTCCCTGAAGATGTGCAGTTGCTCCTGTGCCATTTGTTCAAGAGTCTGTCCTTTCCTCTGTCAAACTGTCTTTGCTCCTTTGTCAGAAATCACTGTCGAGTGTGTGTGGGTGTAGTGAGCTTTGAAAGCTTGGAGCTTTGGTCCTCCAACTTCATTTTTCTTCAGAGTTGTTTTGGCTACTATAGGTTTTTTGTATTTCCATATGAAGTTTAAAATCCATTTGTCAATGTCTACAAAAAAGCCTTCTAGAATTTTGATTGGAATTATGTCAATTTGTAGGTAAATGTGGGGAGAATTGTTCTGATGTCTTGACAGCACAGAGACTGCCAGTCGATCACAAGGAACAGCTCTGTGTTTAGGTCTCAGCAGTGTTTTCCAGTTCCAGTATACAGGTCTTAATATCTTTTGTGAAAGTTAACCCTAAGCATTTATATATTTGATGTATTATAAATGGTAGGTTGATTACGGCTTCTGGTTCTTGCTAGTATGTAGAAATACAAATGATTTTTATATATTGATCTTGTGTACTGCCATCTTGTTAACCTCATTTATTTCTAGTAGCTTTTTGTAGATTCCATCCAGTTTTTTACAAACAGTCATGTCTTCTGTGAATACAGTTTTACTTCTTCCTAATTTGTCTGCCTTTTATTGCCTTTTCTTGCCCAACTTCACCATTCAGAACCTCCACTATGGGTAAAAGAATTGGAAAAGG